CATGGGAAGGCCCACCCCCCAGTCCCCACCGCCCCCTACAATGGGGGGGCCCCCCCACACCACAAGGGGGGCCCATCATGCGTCACCAAGGGGGGGCAATTTGCACCACATAGAGAGCCCAGCTCGCAACCCAGGGGGAAGCCCACACTATGTAACAAGGGCGCGTTCACCCTGCTGCAACGCACTCCAAAGGGAGGAACCCCATCTTCGGTCCATTCACATCCATCCCCCATCATCTCACCATGCACCACAGGATAACGAGACGCTGCCTGGTCAGTGGCCGGACTCAGCCACACATTGGAGGAAGCTGGCAAGGCGGGTGGTAGCAGCCACGTCAGGAACCTCGGTCCTGGTCGGTGAAATCGCGGGAGTGTCGGCACGTATCTTGGTGGATACGGGGGCATCAGCCACGATCATCTCGAGCACCATGCACGAGATGCTGCTGGATAAAATCCGACCTTTAGTCCCCGTCAAGACAACGTTCATTGCAGCAAATGGAGGCAGCATGGGCTTCCTGGGCCAGGTTGAAGCCCCGATACAGATTGGGCAGCTTTCGGTAGCAGGACCCATCCTTGTCTCCGCAACATTGCCCGTACCCTGCCTGTTGGGGACGGACTTTCTGAGGCGGATGCCAATGAAAATCGATCTGGCCAATGGGCGGGTGGAAGTCCAGGGAACGCATCTCCATTTCCTAAAGGCGGAGGGAGCCAGCCGGGGTGTACCCTACGTGCAGGCTCTGGTCAGTAAGTCTGTCTCCATTCCCCGGCAGTCCAGATGCTAATTCCGCTGCAATATCGGTCCCCCCTCGTGACAGCCCGACCAGACTCACCCATCCTGGTGTCTCCGGCGTCAGCTGCCATGGATCGCCATGCGCTGGTGGGAGCCGAAACTATTGTACAGAGGAACCAGCATCTGTTCATTCAGGTGCTGAACACCTCTGATAGAACAGCGACGGTGCAGGAGGGAACAGTTCTGGCCCACGTTAGTCCCTTGTCACTAGGAGCCCCAGGGACAGAGCCCGAGCTTGTAGGCAGCATCAGCCAGTCCGAGGACAGAGGGGCCGAATCGTGGATGGACCAGCTGGCGGGGCCTGAGCCGGGATTGCCGCCCGACCAGAAACAGCAGCTGCACTCGTTATTGCAGGAGTTCTCGGACGTATTCAGCCGGGGACCGTTCGACCTAGGGCGCACAAATCTGTCGCAGCACCACATCAACACGGGAGATGCCGCACCCCTGCGCCAAAACACATATAGAATGAGCCCAATGGAAAAGGGGCACATTCAACAAGCGGTGCAGGAGATGCTGCGGTCCGACATAATTTCTCCATCCTCGAGTCCCTGGGGGGCACCGGTCGTCCTAGTCAAGAAGTCAGATGGGTCACTGAGATTCTGTGTGGACTTTCGATGCCTCAATGCCGTCACGCTGGCCGACGCATATCCCCTACCACGTATCGACGACTCATTGGATGCACTGGCGGGAGCAACATTTTTTCAGTACGCTGGATTTATTGTCCGGGTTCTGGCAGGTCCCACTAGACGCAGACTCCCGGCCTAAAACAGCGTTCCGGACACCACAGGGCCTGTTTGAGTTCAACTGCCTGCCTATGGGCCTCCAGACTGCGCCGGCGACGTTCCAACGCATAATGGAGTTGGCCTCAGCAGGCCTCCAATGGGAAACGTGCCTCATCTACCTGGATGACGTCATTGTCTTCAGCCGATCATTCGAGGAACACATTGACCGATTACGTCAGGTATTCCTGCGGTTCCGGAACGCGAACTTGAAGCTCAAGCCGTCGAAGTGCCACCTTATGCAGTCGTCGGTACGCTACTTGGGCCACGTCGTCAGTGAGTCTGGAGTGGCTACAGACCCGGAAAAGACGGCCTGCGTGAGGGCCTGGACTGTTCCCACAATGGTTCCAGAGGTACGCCGGTTTGTGGGTTTCGTTTCTTACTACCGTCGGTTTGTACCCAACTTCGCAACCATTGCCAAGCCCTTGCACGTGTTGACGGCGAAGAACCAGAGGTTTTATTGGGGCCCTCTGGAGGAAGAGGCATTCCAGCAGCTGCGCTCACGTCTGACAGATGCACCACCATTGGCCTTTCCGGATTTTGGCCTCCCCTTTATCCTGGACACGGACGCCAGCGATGTGGGCAACGGCATTGTTTTGTCGCAAGTCCAGCAGGGTCGGGAGGTGGTTAGCGCCTACGGTGGTCGCGTGCTTTCATCAGCGGAGCAGCGCTACTGCGTCACACGTAGGGAACTCCTGGCAGTCGTTCACTTCGTGCAGCAATTCCGACCCTACCTGTATGGTCGCAAATTTACGGTCCGCACTGACCACGCGGCCTCGCAGTATTCGCTCCGTATCGACCAGCCTTCGGGCAAGCTGGCCAGATGGATAGAGCGCCTGCAGGAGTACAGGTACCAAGTTGTGCATGGCAAAGGGACCAGACATGCCAACGCAGACGCATTGTCCCGACTGGCGCCCCAGGGCCCTTGTGCATGCACCACAGGCGGGGCACGCTGCAAGGAGGCGAGGCCGGAGGGGACGGTCATTGCTCCTGTACGCACGGCGGAGGGCGCACAGGGTGAGGTCCAGCTGACCGACCACGACCTGGGGCTGACCTTGGACGATTGTAGACGGCTACAGCTGGAGGAAGCCCCACTGCGAACGCTATGCGCCTCAGCAGAGGCAGGGGGGGAGGAGTACATCGTATGGGAGGACCTCCTCATGCGATGGGACCCGACAGGGCGCCAGCGATGCCTGGTAGTTCCGGAGTCGCTGCGTCAACAATTGGTTATGGACGTACACGGCCGCCAGCTGCTGCACCTGGCGGGGCGGAAGACACTGTACACATTACAGGGTCGGTACTTATGGCCAGGTATGACCGCTGATGTGTATCGATGGGTCGCTACCTGCGTCGAATGTGTGCGGCGAAAGCCGCCACCCCGGGTAAGCCGGGCGCCCCTACAGCCCATCACGGTGACCAGGGTCAACGAATTGGTTGCGTTGGACATCCTGGGACCACTGCCGGTCACGCCACGGGGAAATAAATACCTGTTGGTTGGAGTCGAGTACTGCACGAGGTGGCCGATGGCGTGGGCCTTCCCGGACCAAATGGCACAGACCATCGCCGATGCCTTCGTGGGAGGCTATGTCCTTGATAAGGGGGCACCGGAGCGGTTGCTCACGGATCAGGGCAGGAATTTTTCCTCACAGCTATTGAAGGACGTCTGCTCTATCCTGGGCACTAAAAAGGTCCGAACATCTCCGTATCATCCCCAGACCGATGGGATGGTAGAGCGGCTTAACCGCACCATAGCGGCTATGCTGTCCCAAGTGGTGGACGAAAACCATTCCGACTGGGACCTCCACATTCCATCGGTCTTAGTGGCGTACAGGGTGGCCCCGCACGCGGCGACGGGGTTCTCGCCGTTTTTCCTGATGTATGGACGGGATCCCGTTCCGCCTATTGAGGTGCAGCTGATGGACATTCCCGCAAGAGCTGACGCATGGCCGAAGGCACTAAAGCCTCCCTCATTTATTTGAGAGAGGCCCGCCAAGCAGCCGAGGCCGCATCGGCCACGAGCCAAGAGAGTAATGTACGGATACGGGAGAGGACAGTGACAGCCAAGCCCTTTAAAGTCGAGGACCAGGCATGGCTACACTGTCCTCAGGTGCCGGTTGGCCTCTCACCAAAGCTGCACCGACCCTGGAAAGGGCCGGTCGAGGTCATTAAAGCACTCCGACCGCAGTGCGTCCAGGTCCAACTGGGTAAGCGATGATGGTTTGTACACCCCACCCGCCTTAAGCCATACATCTCTCATGTGAGGCCTGACGGAGCGGCGGCACGAGCGGGGGCCGGAGAGACAGCGGCGCCAGGCAAGGCGACACCGGCACCACCGAACCAGGGACCGCGACGAGAGGGCCTTCGAAGGAGGGGGCCGCCACGGTCATCTGCTGCCTGTGGATGTCCGGGCTGTTACGGGATGCTGGCTGGAGACCTGGGCAGGCCGCGCAATTTATTTTGTCGTGTTATATTGCATTGTATGGTTGTGGGGGGGTTAAGGGCTGTCGTCACTGTCAGTGGTGGGAGGCATGGGGAGATTTAAATGGTCCATGGGGGAGGCAGAACCGAGGATGGTTATTTTTTCTCCGGGGGGGGGGGGGGGGGTGATGTAGAGGTGTCAGGGGAAGGATTCCCACCAAAAGGTGGGTTAGTGGGAGGGGTGATCGAGGAGATATAAGGAGAGAACGGGCGGGAAGAGGGGGCCTTTGGCGGGAACGATATTGGGACGGCTGGGGACAGGTGTGGATGGAAGAAAAGGATTAAAGGACGAGACCCCTGCAATCTTGTGTCTGCTCTCCTTTACACATATGTGACAATTTAGATATTATGTTTTATACTGCCTATTCGTTTTGCAATAATATATATTCTGAATCTTCCATATTGGAAAGTGATTTGATATTAACTGGTTCTTGATCAATGTTCGAGTTCTTAACTTTTTTCTGTGACATTGCTGCCCTATGTTAATTATAGTTCAATAAATAAAGTAAGCCCAACATAATCATATGCTCAGTGTAAACTAAATTCACCGCTGTTTTATAGAAAAGTGTGAGCTGGTCAGTTTAAACTAGGCATGTGATTTTGTTGACTCATTAATTATTAAACTATAATTAACAAAGGGCAGCAGTGTCACAGTAGTTAGTGAACCTCACTACAAAACGGGCCTTTATTTAATTCCTGGCCACAGCTGACATCAGTGTTGAGGTATATCTGAACTTGATCCACCTCCCCTCAACACCCTCACCCCACAAGTTGCCAAAAGTCATGATTTATGGTCAAACAACCCCCATTAATTAAAGGATGAGCAGAGACCCCCATTCAGCATTGTAGTGAATGTATAAAGGAAATAAAATGTGCAACCACATGGTTTGAAGCATGCGAACATATTTCCATTCCATTTAACGCATATTGTTTTTTCTTTTGGTATCGGCACAGTATGATGATGAGTATCTTCCGACCTGCGAAACGCTGACCGAAACAAAATGCCCCAACAAGCTTGAGAGCGCCAAGTGCAAATTCAGCACGTGGAACGCGACCATCCGTTTCAATGACACTGGGTCAGGAATCAAAATGATAGATCCACCTGGTGACATGAGCAACAACGGTGGCGAGAAGACGTTGACCAAGAGCTTTTCCGGAGACTGCTGTAACACAAGTCTAAACATCAGCATCACAGACATAGCAGGGAACACACGTGTGTGCTCCTATGACATGAAGGTACCGTTGAAACTACACTACCATATATATAATGTTATATACAAACTACATGCTATATTGAATTGGCCTAAAGGTGTTAAGAAAACTGTCGAGTCAATGGTCAGTGGAGAGATGGACTTTACTGTACCGGAAAACCTCGGCGAACGCGGGGGTTATGTTCCTAAAAAACAATCTGTGTAGGGTGAAACTACGTCCGACAAATAATTGACCACATGGGAAAAAATAGGTTGTGTTCCTGGCTCCGAAATTATGACCCAATTCCTCTGTAACTTATTGTATACTAGCTTTACTACCCGGCTTCGCCCGGAACTTGGATTCACCACGCCCAGCCGCCTTTGTCTCCCCAGTGGCGATGTTCACACACCACACCAGTTACTCGTTTGAGGCTGAGTCGACCTAGGGGAGACCCAGGACCGGTTCAAATAATCGTTACCGGTGGTGGCCGTGAGCGGGAATCGAACTCGGGTAGCCGGGTTCGTAGCGCAGCGCGCTAAGCACTGCGCATGCGTGGGTGACATGACAGATGTGATCTCACAGCTCACTTGCCGTGCAAAAAATATGCATTATTGCGCCCCCCCCCCAATTTTTTTTTTTTACATGGTGTACAGTCTGGAAAATACCCATATGGCAAATTTCAAGTTTGTTGCATGTCCGGAAGTACGCAAAACATTTTGAACAGACACACATAATCACAAATTTACCTTTTATATATGTTGAGTGACACTTGACGACTCGGAGACGGAGGTACAGGTAAGGGCTTCCGCCGGTGTTTATTTAAGGGCTTACGCCAATAACACGGGGTATAACACTTCCCCCAAGGGTAAGGGGTCCTACACTTGGACCCCTGACTCTGTCTGCCCCTTAATACAGCGGGCTGCCCATGCTGCCTCCTGTGCGCCGGCCGAGGGTTCATCCGACTCGGCCGACCCAGGAGCGCAGTCACACCTAGCTCTTAAGCTGACAAACTTTTATCCCTTTACCCCTGGCTCTAGCTTCCACCCTTCTTCGTTCCCTGGTTCCAGCCAAGACCCCGTTGATGTCACGGTCCCCTATTTAAGTACTCTCGCGGGACATGACGTCACCCCGCCCGCAGGCGCGCATGACGCCACCTCCCGTGACGTCACCACACCTGAGAGCGAGCCTGACGTCATGCCCGCCACTAGTCCTCTACTTTACACCCCCCCTGTGAAAAAAAAAAAACAGCTGACCCGGCTGCAACCATGACGAAAGCGGGGCCTGGTTCCAGACGGAAGGCTCACAACCCAAGGGGACACATGTGCATGAAGGCTACCAGAACGAAACCCCAACATAAGGGCAGCATGGCATAACAACAGCTAACACAACTAATAAGAAAAAGAGAACGAAGGCCCCCCTCGCCCATAGCAGCGCCGAACTGGCTGGGGTCCGATGACGGCAGGCCAGTCCATCACCGGAGCCGCATCCCCCTCGAGCGGGTATGCACTGCCGGCCCCCTCTCTCGTGTGGCGTCGGGCGACAGTGCAGGTGGCTCGTTAGCGGGCGACAGGTCCCCCGCCGGGGCCTCCGGTGGCCGAGGAGCCTTTGCTTTCGTCACTTGCGAGGGCTCTGAGGGCACACACACAGGGCGGATGTCGCCTCCGTCATCATGACCCGGGCAATCAGGCACGTCGAACGCATCACCCACCGGCGGCTCCGGAAATGGGGATGGATCCACAGGGGTAGATGGCACATAACGTTTGAGCCGGGATGGGTGCACTATCCACTGCCGGAGACCGAACCAAATCCGATCGCACTGCGGCCGTCGGACCTCCACAACCTCAACGAGGCCCTGCCAAGGGCAATGTAATTTGGGAGATGTGCCAACGGGAACCTGGGGGCAATGCAGCCATGCCTTATGGCCCGCTACCCACGGGAGGCCAGCTGCCTGGTGTTTGGGCAGGTGCTTCGTAGACGCCTGCCGGCTGGTGGAATTTTCGACATCGGCTTGCCGTGCCTCACGCAACCGGTAGAGCGCGACCTTGAAGGGTACCAGCACCGCCGACCCCTTCCTGGAGGACCTGACGTCCATCTGGACGTGCATCGGGGGCTCCGGCTCCCTACCATACATCAAATAAAAAGGTGAGAATCCCGTTGAGGCATGAAGAGCCAACCGATACGCCACCAAGATCCCCGGGACGAGCTCATTAACGCGAGAAATCTAGTCTGACTGGGACGTGTTCATGTGGTGGTACAGCATGTATGTGAGGGTGCGGTTCAACCACTCTACCATCCCGTCTGATTAGGGGTGGTAGGGTGAGGTGCAGATTTTCTTGGTGCCAAGGATGTCACACACCTCCTTGAGCAACCTAGACAAGAAATTCCGCCCCTGGTTGGTTAGCAATTGTTCCGGCATGCCCTTGTTCAACACGTACCCCTGGACGAATGCCTTGGTGATAGAAGAGGCTGACTGGTCCACCAAAGACCACACCACAGGCCAACGTGTGAGGTATTCGACGCCCACCAAGAGGTATTTATGGCCCCGTTGGGATGCTGAGAATGGGCCCAAAACGTCGAGCACTACAAGCTCATTAATGCAAGAAACCCGGATGGACTGCAGCAGGATCTGGTTCTGGCCAACTGGGGCCTTCCTCCGCGCACAGTCGTGGCAACCCTTCAAAATCAGCGCCACGTCACCCTCTACACCTGGCCAGTAATAGTCCTGTTTAAGGGTCAACAAGGTCTTGTGGTAGCCATGGTGCATAAGCTTCTCGTGAATGTCTCGGGTTGATTTACCTCAAAGGCTAGTGGGCACAACCACGCAATAGAGTTCCAATTGGGCATCCCAACGCATGAGGAGACTGTCATGCACGACATTCACCGGGGCAGCCGATGAAGCAGAACTCCGGGCCTTACGCCCAACGTGGCGTTGTAGCCTAAGCAAAGAGGAATCCTCCATCTGCAACCTGGACCATACCTCTCGGGGGTGTCCCATGCTAAAATCCATAGGCAACGCTGTAGCTGGAGGGGTGGCCGAGCACCCGAGAGGGCATCCAGGGAATCATCCATGCGAGGCAATGGATATGCATCAGCCACCGAGATCTTGTTCAATTTACGGAAATCGACGCAGAACCGGAGACTCCCGTCCCGTTTCTTGACTAGCACAATGTGGGCACCCCAAGGGCTAGTGGATGGGGAGATAATGTCCGCCGCCAACATTTCGTCAACAGCCGAGCTGACATGCTCTTTTTCCACCGGGCTAAAGTGGTGGGAATTCAGTCGAATAGGGGCCGAATCGCACGTATCAATGTGGTGTTCCAGAAGGGCAGTGCGACCTAGATAAAATTTACTTTGGCTAAACACATCGGTGAATCTCTCGATGATGTTGCGGAGTCTCTGGCGCATCACGCCCGCCACCACCCCTCCATCCGGTGAAGTGCACTCGGGTGGAGGAGCTGGGGTCGCATGCGCTAGGACGGCGCCGGATGGAACTACGATCGGTGAGGGCCCCGAATTGAGGACCTGTAAAAAAAGGTCCTGGCGTCCCGACACGGCCGTCAAAACGCCCACCAACCCGTCCATCTTTGAAAAGTAACTGGAGGGGGATAGAAAAATACCCGTCTCCAGAGAGCGCAATTTGAGTGGTCTGTGCAGCCTGAGGGGTAGCAGAATTTTTGACCCCGGTGAATCGATCACAGCTGCCTTCTTCAAAGCCCGTACACTGGCGACCAAGGGGGACAGAACGGTCGGCGATTGCAGAAAGTGAAACCGCCTCCCTGACGGCATTTCCACACAGCCCTCGTCGACGAGAATTCGAATGGGCATACTGGACAAAAAGTCAGTCCCCAAAAGGCATGGCACCGTCAATGCCTTGGAGACCAAAATAGGCCCTACCAATTTAATCTCGTCGACCCGAACCGACGCCACAATGTGGCCCAAGAAGCCCAAACTGCCATTTGCGGCCACACAAGCCCCGTGAACCAGCTGTAAGGGATCCACGCTGCCAGGTAACAAATGGAAGATGACCTCCAAAATGATAGTGGCAGACGCTCCCGTATCCACCAAGATGCATACTTCAACCCCCTGCACGCATCCTGCCATCGCCGAGGAGCCGGCAGCCACCGCCACCACCCGATGCGCAAGCGAATTCAAATGGCGGATCCGTCTGGGCCACCCAGCAGATGACAACCAGCATGCCAAGGGTGCACCCGACCCCCCAGAGACAACCCCATGATGAGGGACCCGAGCCCCGCTAGATGCATGAGGTGAGGGGAGCGGCCGTGCGAGTGATGTGTCGCGACTCGCCTGGGGCCCGGGGGCCGATGCTGACGAGGGTCCGGAGGGAGCCGGAGAGGACTTGCTGAAGGCCACTGGAGCATTCCGGCAGCCCCGCTCTATGTGGCCCTGCTGACCACAGTGGAAGCAGGCCACTGCAGCAGCGTCCTGAAGACAGGAAGGTCCCGCCCGCCACCGCTGCTCCGGCCGGCGACCACCCGCACCCCTCCCGCAGCGGTCAGGCACCACCAGGGCCGCGAGGGTGTCCACCCCCTGAGGGGCGGCCCCCCCCCTCCGGCACCGGGGCCCCCGGGCATGCCGCCATCCGGGGCTGTTGTCGTAGAGAGAGGTACGCTCGAATGTTCTCGGCCACCGCTAATGACGTAATCTGGCGATTGTTGGCAATTGACAAAATGATCCCCAGCTCCCACGCCAGGTCAAGCAGCCTTTCGAGGGCCAATTAATCTAATGCCCTGCCCTCCAGGTCAGGGTATGTGGCCTGCGCCAATGCCAGGAGGGAGCAGTAGAATTCCAACGGCAGCTCCCCCTCCTCCCTCCGCCGTAGTGAGAACTTAAGCCGTGCACGGGACGGTGGCTCGAAGACGGCGGCCATCTGCAGATGCACCGCCGGAAGTGAAGACTTATTGGCCGGCAGAATCGACTTGAATGCTTGCAGCACCCTCTCGTCTAAGCAGGTCGGAAGGGCCCGCAACGCTTCATCCATGGGCCAGCCGACCGACATATATGCCACGTCAAACCAGTCCTGGAAAGTCAACCAGTCGCCCCCCTTCATGACGAACGACGCGACGTGGGGCAACCGGCGCAGCCACTGGCCACTCGGCGTGGACCGCAGCAAGGACGCATCCCCGGACGCCCCGGACGGCGCTGCGACGACCGCAGCAGCAACACCGGGTTGCGGAGTTACGGCGGCACCTGCTGCCCACCCCGCGGCGAGATGCGGAGCTGCGGCGGCGACCGCGGCAAAACCCGCAGGCACAGCAAAGTGCGGATCTGCGGCGGCGCCCGCGTCCCACCCCACAGTTGCGGCGAGGTGCGGAGCCGCGGCGGCACCAGCGGCAACCCCCCGGCGGCGCAGCGAGGTGCGGAGCTGCGGCGGCAATGTACGAAGCCATGGCGGCACCTGCAGCAAATCCCGCAGGTGCGTCGGGGTGCGAAGATGCGACGGCTCCCGCGACTTACCCCGCAGGTGCGAGGTGCGGAGCTGCGGGGGCGATGTACGGAGCCACGGCGGCACGCGCGGCAAATCCCGCAAGCACGGCGGGATGCGGAGCCATGGCGGCGGCCGTGGCCCACCCCGCAGGCGTGGCGAGGTGGGGAGCCGCGGCGGCGATGTGTGGAGCTGCGGTGGCACCCGCAGGCGCGACGAGGTGGGGAGCTGCGGCGGTGCCGGCGGCCCAACCCCAAGGCACGGCGAAATGCGGAGCTGCGGCCTAACCTTCGGCCAACACTGCAGGCGCAGCGCGGAGTCGCGGCGTCGGAGGTGGCAACTTCCGCCGGCGCGGCGAGTTGCGGAGCTGCGGCATCGCCGGTGGCCAACCCCGCAGCCACGGCAAGAACCGGGGCCGTGGCAGCACCCGCAATAGAGAGTGGAGTCACGGCACCCATGGCGTCGATTTGCGGCATCGCGCAAAAAATGAAGGCCGCCTGCGACATCGCAGGCAAAATGGCCACCGCTGGCAGCGTCGCATGCAAAATTGCAGCCAACTCCCGTGGCGCATCCGACGAGAAGTTGGCACCAAAATTCGAAGAGGCGGGGAAGGGGAATGACGGAAACCCGCCGCTCCGGCTCTAAATTCGTGTCGGGTGCACGCATCTTCGCCCCCACCTCGGCAAGTGACACGGAGAGCTGCGCCATCGCTTGCATGAGCAGCTCCAGCTGCCGAGCGAAGGCGCTCCCCGCGTCCAGTGGCGGTGCGCAGGCACCCCCGGCCGCCGTCCCCTCCTGCCCCAGCAGGTACGGTTCCCCGGGGCACAATCTCCGGGTCCCCGGACTCCGGGATCGCTTCTGGAGCCTCCTCCGCGCCTTCGTCGTGTTCAGAGCATCCCGTCGGCGGGTTCTTTCGCCGCGTGCCAGACTTGGACATGGCGGCGGCAGCGTAAACACTTCCAACACCAGTTGTTGAGAGGCTCTTGACGACTCGGAGACGGAGGTACAGGTAAGGGCTTCCGCCGGTGTTTGTTTAAGGGCTTACGCCAATAACACGGGGTATAACACTTCCCCCAGGGGTAAGCGGTCCTACACTCGGACCCCTTATGCTGGCAAACTCCTATCCCTTTGCCCCTGGCTCTAGCTTCCACCCTTCTTCGTTCCCTGGTTCCAGCCACGACCCCTTTGACGTCACCATCCCCTCTTTAAGTACTCTCGCAGGACATGACGTCACCCCGCCCGCAGGCGCACATGACGCCACCTCCCGTCACGTCACCGCACCTGAGAGCGAGCCTGACGTCATGCCCGCCACTAGTCCTCTACATTTATATAGATGATTTCCACCTTGTTATTGTAAGCAAGGATGCTCAGTCGCTCTCTATTTGTGTGTTTATACTATTTTTCAATTTTACATCAACACAAAACCCTTGTCTTCATTATTCTACTTTCCAATTAATTACAAGCCCATCACTCGCCCCTTACACTGTTATTCGAGTACGAATACTAGTGATTCACCATCTAGGCGTCTGTATGACTGACGTCCTTAACGAATTCATGGCTAGATGCATGTGGCAATGTGTGAACATTTGCGTTGTGCATGAGAGTGTTGCGTATGTGTTACATTATCATGCAAAAACACACCCTAAAAAACGGACATGTCACCTATATATAAATCGTTCTCACAGTCGATTCACTTACACCATAGTATCTTCTAACGGATGCAGCACTCTCACCTCTTGCAAGCCTAGCAACTGCACTTTTTGCACGAAAGTCATCACTTTTCTTGATTTTTCTCACTACAATCACCACCGATCAACTTACCTCAGGGGCCATGAATAAAAAGTCAGACCGCATGAGAGTGTTGGGGATGGAAGGTGGCGACGAGATGTGAAACCTCGGCATCTCCAGCCCAGTACAATCGGACTGCGCGCTACTTTTCGATACTGAGATGAGAATCATAGTGTAAACCCACGTATAGCCAAAACATCACCCCCCTGTTCCGGAAACAGACCTGGATTTGAGTTCAATGCTCAGCTACTATTTAGTCCAGCAGTCCTTGTTTGAATCTGGCATTCACCTGTTTTTGTAGATATGCTAGTGTTGTCATTGCACTGATCTGGCCCATGTCTTCCAATCACTCCTGCCCAGGAATTAATGCCATGACTCGGATATTAATATACAATAGCATTTTAATTATTAAAACATATATATGCTTGCAATGTATGATGCACATTTTATCTCAGTATTCATCTCCAAATTAATGCATTATCTATAACCCCCTGCCCCCCTCCCAATCGACGGGCACAGTATGATGACGCATCTCTTCCGACCTGCGAAATGTTGACTGAAACAAAATGCCCAAACAAGCTTGAGGGCGCCAAGTGCAAATCCAGCACGTGGAACGCGAACATCCGATTCAATGACACTGGGTCAGGCATCAAAATGATAGATCCTCCTAGTGACATGAGCACCAACGTTGGCGAGAAGACGTTGACCAAGAGCTTTTCAGGAGACTGCTGTAACACAAGTCTAAGCATCAGCATCACAGACATAGCAGGGAACACACGTGTGTGCTCCTATGACATGAAGGTACCGTTGAAACTACACTACGATATATATAATGTTATATACAAATTACATGCTATATTGAATTAGCCTAAAGGTGTTAAGAAAACTAACGAGACAATGGTCAGTGGACAGATGAACTTTACTGTACAGGAAAACCTCGGCGAACGCGGGGGTTATGTTCCAAAAAAATTAAGTGTAAAACTATGTCCGACAAATAATTGACCATATGGGAAAAATTACGTTGTGGTCCTGGCTCTGAAATTATCACCCAATTCCTCTTTAACTTATTCTATATGATGTCCACCTTGTTATTGTATACAATGATGCTAAGTCGCTCTCCATTTGTGTGAATACTATTTTACATCAACACAAAATCCCGTCTTAATTATTTCTATTTCCAATTAATTGCTAGTCCAACACTCGCCCCTAACACTGTTATTTGAATAATAGTGATTCACCATGTAGGCGTCTGTATGACTGACGTCCTCAACGAATTAATGGCTATATACATGTGGCAATGTGTATGGGTTACACTATCATATAAAAACATACATAAGAGGTTTTTGGGTTAAACATACACTTAAAACAGACATCTTACCTATGTATAAATCTTCTTGGTTCTTTCGGTAAAGTCACGTAAAATGGAAATAATAAAATAATAAAAATAAACATAATAAAATAATTCTCACGACGTTTCGGCCACAACGCAAGCAGCCGTCCTCAGGTGAAGAACAGGTCTGTCGAGAAGACAGAGTCTGAATGACAACCCCAGGCTTGGAGCGTATTTTTTAAGCTGGGTTGGAGGGGCGGGAGAGAGCGCCTTGACAAAATAATTTGCATATCAAGAGGAATTTAGCATATTTGTGGGAAATGCAGATATGCGATTATCACTACTTGGCGGGGGGTATAAAGTCATTATGCCCGTGCATTATGCAGGATTAGCAGCATCAAAGGGAGGGGGTAGAGGTAGCATTAATAAAGATAAGGAATGTTAATAGTATGTATCTGCAGTAACTAAACCACCACGTAGACAACTAAAGTATAAACTACATAGTATCATCAGTATACTAAATATACTCTTTAATAAGCTGAGCTACTAACAGTAAGTAATACATTACAATTCTACGTCGCAAAATTATAATATGCTTCCAGCTAAACTTTATTCTCTTACATCACACGGGTCTACCCCATGCTATATACTGCCATAGACAAACCTAACATTAAATTATATACTGTATTACTATACACCACCTTATACATTGTAATATTACACTATGTATTATTCTACCTACCCTACTGTATATCACACTGCTGTATATTCACTATACAATTACGATACTATATATTAATTGTATAGGGTGGTGTATTATAATAATACAGTATATAATTTAATGTTGGGTTTGTCTACGGCAGTATATAGTATGGGGTATATCCGTGTGATGTAAGAGAATAAAGTTTAGCTGGAAGTATATTATATTTTTTGCGACGTAGAATTGTAATGTATTACTTACTGTTAGTAGCTCAGCTTATTGAAGAGTATATTTAGTATACTGATGATACTATGTAGTTTATACTTTAGTTGTTTACGTGGTGGTTTAGTTACTGCAGATACATACTATTAACATTCCTTCTCTTTATTAATGCTACCCCTACCCCCTCCCTTTGATGCTGCTAATCCTGCATAATGCACGGGCATAATGACCTTAAACCCCCCGCCAAAACTCCTACGCATTTCACAAGTAGTACTAATCGCATATCTGCATTTCCCATAAATATGCTAAATTCCTCTTGATATGCAAATTCTTTCATCAAGGCGCTCTCTCCCCCCTCCAACCCAGCTTAAAAAAGACGCTCCAAGCCTGGGGTTGTCATTCAGACTCTGTCTTCTCGACAGACCTGTTCTTCACCTGAGGACGGCTGCTTGCGTTGTGGCCGAAACGTTGTGAGAATTATTTTACGATGTTTTATTTTTATTATTTTATTATTTCCATTCTACGTGACTTTACCGAAAGAACCAAGAAGATTAATCCCTGCAGTCACGAAAGCTTTAAATCGAAAGTTACATATAAATCGTTCTCACAGTCAATTCAATTACACCATAGTATCTTCCAATGGATGCAGCACTCTCACCTCTTGCAAGCCTAACAACTGCACTTTTTGCACTAAAGTCATCACTGTTCTCTGATTTTTCTCACTACAATCACCACCACTCAACTGACCTCAGGGGCCATGATTAAAAAGTGAGATCACATGATTGTGTTTTGAGGGAAGGTGGCGACGAGATGTTAAACCTCGGCATATACAGGCCAGTACAAGCGAAATGCGTGCTACTTTTCGACAATGAGATGAGAATCTTAGTAGTGTCAAACCACGTGTAATGCGAGCGTAAATGGGGTTGTTGCTGGCCTCTGGTCCAATCACGCGGCCCGGGGCATTGGGGGGCGGAGCCTGGTCTGCGGGGCGTGTGGGAGGGGCCACCGTTCACCTCGGCTCCAATGGGAGGCGAGGTGAATGGGGGCGGAGCCAGCGGGGTAGTATGGGAAGGCCGGATCTGACGATCCGGGAGGCGGGAGTCAGGGTCACGTGGGGGGAATGGATATAAGTGGGAGCCCGGAAGAGATCGGGGGAGTTGGGGAAGTTAAGAGGCTGAGCCACGTTGGGTGGTGAGGAAAGATCCACGCCATCGGCCACGTGGCCGAAGGACCTCAGCATGCCGTCGGCCAGCGGTGTGCGGAGTGCGGGTATAGAGGAGCTAATGGAGGAGTGTACGGGGCACGCGAGAGAGAGCGTGCGTAGCACGCGAGAAAGAGAGCGTGCGTGGCACGCGAGAGGGAGCGTGTGCGGGGCACGCGCGAGACGACACTGGTCCGAGAGGAGGCCAGTGGGGGTGCGGAGAAGAACCTGAATAAAAGACAAACGGAGACCAGCATCGCCTGACGGAGTCTTTTATTACACTGGTGTCAGAAGTGGAACGAGATGTCAAAACATCTCAAGAAACAGAATATACCTGCACCATCTTCAGAAGACGAAGAGGACCTTCCTCCGGCGGTGGCGGTCCCGACCATGGAAGGCGTGGGCGAAGTGGCGGCGAGCGACACGACAGGAGTACAAGATGTCGTCGGGGCGGCCGGGCCATCTGCGTCGACGGGCGCCGAGGACGGCTGGCGACACGTGGCGGTCCAGCTTGATTCACTGCGGGCCGTTCTGCTGGATTTAGTCACCCTGGTCGCGCCAGTGACGATGCCGGATCGGCCACGCGGCGGGCCTTCAAGCGGGGAGCCTTCGGGTGGGGCCAAGCTGTCCGCCATTGGGGCCTCTGCGACGCTTCCCGCCCTCTCCGACACGCGGCAGGACACCGCCATCTTGGGTGTGGTCGCGGACAAAAGGCGGGAAGCCGCCATCTTGTCGCCGCCGCCGCGGGAAGCCGCCATCTTGTCGCTGCCACGGCGGGAAGACGCCATCTTGTCGCCGCCGCAGGGGACGCCTGCATCAGAAGACAGCAGCTCGGGGACTTGCAGCCATCGCCTGACGACGATTAAAGAATTCTCAATTGGAGAAGATTGGAGCGCATTTGCGTGGTGTTTTGAGTCGGCCGTCCGATCCGCCAAGTGGACGGATGCGGAGGCCTTGGAAGTTCTGCCGACGATCCTGGACGACAAGTCTTTGAAATTCTTCCGCTCCATCAAGGCCGCGAAGAAGGCGATGCTGAAAGGGGCGTTCGACGAAATGGCGGAAGCGTACGAGCCTCCGGATGATGCACACCGCAGATTCGTCCAGAGGCAACGGGCACCCGAAGAATCACCTGTGGCTTTCCGGGGCGCTGTGCTTGAGCTGGCCATGGCCGCGTATCCAGAGACGGAGCCCGACTTGTTGGAGCCCTTGATACTGGGTAAGATGTTGGAGCTGTCCAAGGACTTGGGCATTCCGATGCCGATATGCGGCCATGAGCAGATGATCTCCCGGATGGCAGCCAAGTGCCTCAACGCGCAGTTCAACTTGCGCCGTTGGACACAGGTGACCGCCTGGACGGGGAGCCCGACCGTGAAGGAAGGCGCCGCCGGGTGGACTCCGTCAAAGGCCGTCTTCGTGCCGGACGAGAGGGGGCCTGGCGATCTCTCTGCAGCGGCGGCCCAGTGGGTTCCTCGAGGGGGAGCGGAGTCGCACTCCGGCCCACCGCTGAGGGATCATCGGGACGGGGGGGGGGGGGGGGGAGCCGGGCGGCGGGCCGACTCATCGTGTTACCGCTGCGGGCATCTTGGACACTTCGCGCGGGACTGTCGGAGTCGCCCTCGCCCGCCTCTTCAGCCGGAGTCCCCGGCCAAGGACGCGACGTCAACGCCGGAGAGTCAACCGTGTCAGGCAAGTCGGTACGCATCAGACACCCGGCAAGGCCTGTCATCTCATGCATCACCGTCGGTACGCGTTCCGGGGGCCTGTTCTAATGGGGAGACTCTAAGGGATCCGCGTCGCTCGCTGACACAGTGGCGGAAATTGGCACGGAGGGTGGTTGCAGCTGCTACTGGGTCGTCGACCGTGCCGGGTTCGATATAGGGGGTCGACGTGCGGATTTTGGTAGATTCGGGCGCGTCCGCAACTATCATCTCGGACGTGATATTCTATCTCCTGTCCATTCTGCCGTCGCGGGTACGACCGGTTTACGATTCATGTGTTGCGGCGAACGGAGGGAGTATGGGCATCGTTGGTCAGGTGGAGGCGCGTATTTCGGTTGGGGGTGTGTCGGCTTCGGGGACGGTTTTAGTCTCCAGGTCCCTCGCTGTGCCGTGTTTGTTGGGGACCGATTTCCTGGCAAATATGCCCATTCAGATAAGGGTTGATCAGAATTGTATTGAGTTACCGGTGGGCCAAAATATTTTCTTTTTGCCGTCGCCGTGGGGTGCAGGCACTATCCGATGTTTCGGTCGACATTCCACCTGGCTCGCAGATGCTTATCCCACTGCGTTATCGGAAGCCCGTGCCTGGGGTCGAGGGGGCGGTGGGGGTGTTGTTGTCGCCGTCCAACGCGGTTACGGATGGCCTGGCGCTGGTCGCGGCACGAACGATTGTTCGGCCGGGTCAGCCTCCGTTTTTGCAAGTGTTGAATGGAAGCGCGGACAATGTCGTCGTGCCGGCTGGAACGGTTTTGGCACATGCTACGACTGCCTTCACGGCCCATGACGATCCGGCCCACCGGGGCCTCGTAGGGGAGGTTTCGGCCTCGACGGCGCAGGACGATCGATGGATCGCCGGGTTGTGCCAAGAAAATGCGTCCTTGACTACGGACCAGCGGTCCGCGCTTCGCGCGCTGTTGGAGAAATATTCTGATGTCTTTAGTGAAGACGATTTCGATCTGGGACGCACCTCGTTGCTCTGCCACCATATTGATACCGGGGATGCTGCTCCCATTCGGATGAATCCACATCGGTTGAGCCCGGCGGAGAGGGAACATGTACGCGGCGCGGTGGATGATATGCTAGTCGCTGACATTATCTCTCCGTCCAACGGCCCGTGGGGCGCTCCGGTGGTCCTGGTAAATAAAAAGGATGGTAATTTACGGTTTTGTGTCGATTTTCGGAAGTTAAACAAGGTGTCGGTTGCGGACGCTTACCCCCTGCCGCGTATGGATGATTCCCTCGATGCCTTGTCTGGGGCGAAATTTTTTTCCACTCTTGACCTCTCTTCGGGGTTCTGGCAGCTCCCCCTGGACGGGTCCTCGAGGGAAAAGACGGCTTTCCGTACGCCGCAGGGCCTGTTTCAGTTTAATTGTCTTCCCATGGGGTTGAACGCCGCCCCTGCTTCTTTCCAGAGGTTGATGGAACTCGTGTTGACCGGTCTGCAGTGGGACACGTGCTTGATATATTTGGATGATGTTATTGTGTTCAGCCGTACGTTTGAGGAGCATCTTCAGAGATTGGATGCTGTTTTTGCGAGGGTGCGTTCCGCCAATTTGAAATTTAAGCCCAAGAAGTGTCACCTTTAGCAACGATCCATGCGCTATTTGGGCCAGATAGTCAGCTCTGACGGTGTGGCCACGAACCCGGAGAAAACGGCGTTCGTCCGGGACTGGCCGATTGCGGCCACGGTGGGTGACGTGCGTCGTTTTGTCGGGTTCTCTTCCTGTTATCGCAGGTTCGTTCCAAATTTTGCCACGATCGCTAGGCCATTGCACCTCCTTACGGCAAAGAACTGGAGGTTCAGCTGGGGACCGGTGGAGGAGTCGGCGTTTCATGGCCTATGCGATCGCTTGGCGTCAGCGCCGACGCTGGACTACCCTGATTTCACTCTGCCTTTTATTCTGGATACCAACGCTAGTGACATGGGGATTGGGGCTATCCTATCACAGTTTAAGGGTGGCGTCGAGCACGTGGTGGCTTACGGGAGCCGCGTTTTATCTCCGGCGGAGACCCGCTACTGCGTTACCCGCCGGGAACTGTTGGCTATAGTGCATTTTGTCCGTCAATACCGGCCGTATTTGTGACTGTGCCCGGCGGAAGCCGCCTAAGCAACCGTATGTTCCCCCAGTGCAGTCGATACAAGTTTCGCGGGTTAACGAGTTGGTGGCGTTGGATATTCTGGGGCCCTTTCCCCCATCCGCTCGGGGGAACAAATTTTTGTTGGTCGGGGTTGAATATCTTTCCCGCTGGCCGATGGCCTAGCCCTTGCCCGACCAGTCGGCGGCGTCTATCACGGAGGCATTTCTGTTCGGATATGTGATGGACAAGGGGGCCCCGGAAAGGTTGCTTACAGACCAAGGGCGAAATTTTTCTTCCAACCTATTGCGGGATGTGTGCGACGCATTGGGGACTAAGAAGGTTCGGACGTCTTCCTACCATCCACAAACTGATGGGATGGTTGAACGGTTGAACCGGACCCTGTCGGCCATGCTCTGTCATACGGTTAGCGAGAAGCAGGCCGATTGGGATTTGCATTTCCCTGGGGTGCTCTCCGCTTACCGGATGGCGCCGCATGCGTCAACAGGGTACTCGCCCTTCTTTTTGATGTACGGCCGCGAGAATGTGCCGCCGGCGGAAGTGCAACTTGGCACGCGGGCGAGGGGTCCTGTTAAGCCCCTCCCCGAGTATATTCGTGACACCGCTCGACGCGTGGCGGAGACGCGGGAGGTGGCCCGATTGGCTATGGCCAGGACCCAGGCCCGGAACGAACGTTGCACCCGGCGCTCTCATTGTGGGTTCCCCTGGCGAGTGGGGGACATGGCCTGGCTCCACTGCCCACAGGTACCGGTGGGGACCTCCCCTAAGTTGTGCAAACCCTGGCAGGGGCCGGTTGTGCTTATTGAGGTCCCTAGCCCGCAGTCCGCGCGCATTCGTGTCGGATCGCGGCGTTGGTACGTTCACACGTCCCGATTGAAACCCTACGTGGCCCCACGAGTGGATGCGTCATCTCCTAACGTTGCCTTGCCAGTGTCTGTCGCGTCCGATGCACCACTGTCGTGCCTCCTGTAGATGGGCCGGCTGTGATCCTGCCGGACACAGGGATTCCTGCACCGAGTGGGCCTACCACGGCGAACGGTGACATTTGGCCCCGCTGCCCCTCCAACCCCACCGCGGTTGCAGTTGCAGGGGGCCCCGACTATGGACCTCTCTGGGGAACGGGGTGCTGGGACGGACAGGCCTCCACCAGCGGCGGATGGTTCCGGTTCCGCCGCTCCTAAAACCTTGTCGGGACTGCGACCTTTGAGGGCGCCGCCTCTCGTGAATGACGGGCCGGCAACCCACACTCGTTCCAAATCCCTTCCCTTTCGTTAATTGTGTTGTTGTTATACTCTCCGTGGTGTCTGGTGATTCCTGATTGTGATGCTGTCGCTCGCATTATTTTATCCTATTGCAGCCGGGACGGCTGGATTTTCATCAGGGGGGGGGGGGTTTATGTAATGCGAGCGTAAATGGGGTTGTTGCTGGCCTCTGGTCCAATCACGCGGCCCGGGGCATTGGGGAGCGGAGCCTGGTCTGCGGGGCGTGTGGGAGGGGCCACCGTTCACCTTGGCTCCAATGGGAGGCGAGATGAATGGGGGCGGAGCCAGCGGGGTAGTATGGGAAGGCCGGATCTGACGATCCGGGAGGTGGGAGTCAGGGTCACGTGGGAGGAATGGATATAAGTGGGAGCCCGGAAGAGATCGGGGCAGTCGGGGAAGTTAAGAGGCTGAGCCACGTTGGGTGGTGAGGAAAGATCCGCGCCATCGGCCACGTGGCCGAAGGACCTCAGCACGCCGTCGGCCAGCGATGTGCGGAGTGCGGGAATAGAGGAGCTAACGGAGGAGCGTGCGGGGCACGCGAGAGAGAGCATGCGTAGCACGCGAGAGAGAGAGCATGCGTAGCACGCGAGAGAGAGAGAGAGAGCGTGCGTGGCACGCGAGAGGGAGCGTGCGCGGGGCGCGCGCGAGACAACACTGGTCCTAGAGGAGGCCAGTGGGGGTGCGGAGAAGAACCTGAATAAAAGACAAACGGAGACCAGCATTGCCTGACGGAGTCTTTTATTACACATGTATAGCCAAAACATCACCCCCGTGTTCCGGAAAATAGACCTCGTTAAGAAAACCATGTATAGCTGTAACAAACATTCGATAAAACCGCATTTGGCAATGTTTTCTCGGAGTCCCTCATGACAAGAACATGGACTTGAGGTCAATGCTCAGCTACTATTTAGTCCAGCAGTCCTTGCTTGAATCCGGCATTCACCTGTTTTGTAGATATGCTAGTGTTGTCATTGCACTGATCTGGCCCATGTCTTCCAATCACTCCTGCCCAGGTATTAATGCCATGACTCGGATATTAATGTACAATAGCATTTTAATTATTAAAACATATATATGCTTGCAATGTATGATGCACATTTTATCTCAGTATTAATCTCCAAATTAATGCATTATCTATAACCCCCCGCCCCCCTCCCCATCGACGGGCACAGTATGATGACGCATCTCTTCCGACCTGCGAAATGTTGACCGAAACAAAATGCCCAAACAAGCTTGAGGGCGCCAAGTGCAAATCCAGCACGTGGACCGCGAACATCCGATTCAATGACACTGGGTCAGGCATCAAAATGATAGATCCTTCAAGTGACATGAGCACCAACGTTGGCGAGAAGACGTTGACCAAGAGCTTTTCAGGAGACTGCTGTAACACAAGTCTAAGCATCAGCATCACAGACATAGCAGGGAACACACGTGTGTGCTCCTATGACATGAAGGTACCGTTGAAACTACACTACGATATATATATATAATGTTATATACAAATGACATGCTATATTGAATTAGCCTAAAGGTGTTAAGAAAACTAACGAGTCAATGGTCAGTGGACAGATGAACTTTACTGTACAGGAAAACCTCGGCGAACGCGGGGGTTATGTTCCTAAAAAAATATGTGTCGGGTAAAACTACGTCCGACAAATAATCGACCACATTGGTTAGGTTGTGGGCCTAGCTCCGAAATGATCAGCCAATTCCTCTATAACTTTTTCTATATTATTTCCACATTGTTATTGCAAGCAAGGATACTCAGTCGCTCTCCATTTGTGTGTGAATACTATTTTTCAATTTTACATCAACACAAAACCCCCATCTTCATTATTACACTTTCCAATTAATTACAAGCCCAACACTCGCCCCTTACACTGATATTTGAATACTAGTGATTCACCATCTAGGCGAATTCATGACTGGCATCTTCAACGAATTCATGGCTAGATGCATGTGGCAATGTGCGAACATTTGCGTTGTGCATGAGCGTGTTGTGTATGTGTTACATTATCATACAAAAACACACAATAAAAAAACAGACATCTTACCTATATATAAATCGTTCTCGCAGTCTATTTAATTACACCATAATATCTTCCAACGGATGCAGCACTCTGACCTCTTGCAAGCCTAACAACTGCACTTTTGGCACGAAAGTCATCATTATTTTCAGATTTTTCTCACTACAATAACCACCACTCAACTTACCTCAGTGGCCATGATTAGAAAGTGAGACCGCATGAGAGTGTTGGGGAGAGTTGGTGGCGACGAGATGTGAAATCTCGGCATATACAGGCCAGTACAAGCGGACTGCGCGCTACTTTTCGCCAAAACATCACCTCGTTAAGTAAACCATGTATAGCTGTAACAAGCATTCGATAAAACCGCAATTGGCAATGTTTTCCCAGAGTTCCTCATGACACGAACATGGACTTGAGGTCAAATGCTCAGCTATTATTTAGTCCAGCAGTCCTTGCTTGAATCTGGCATTCACCTGTTTTTGTTGATATGCTAGTCTTGTCATTGCACTGATCTGGCCCATGTCTTCCAATCACTCCTGCCCAGGTATTAAAGTCATGACTCGGATATTAATGTACAATAGCATTTTATTATTTATATATATGCTTGCAATGTATGATGCAGATTTCATCTCAGTATTTATCTCAAAATTAATGCATGATCTATACCTGCCCCCACCCCATCCATGGGCACAGTATGATGACGCGTCTCTTCCGACCTGTGAAACATTGACCGAAACAAAATGCTCAAACAAGCTTGCAGATGCCAAGTGCAAATCCAGCAAGTGGAATGTGACCATCCGGTTCGATGACACTGGGTCTGGAATCAAGATGATAAATCCACCTGGTGACATGAGCAACAACGTTGGCGAGAAGACATTGACCAAGAGCTATTCTGGAGACTGCTGCAACACGGTGTTTAGCGTTGACGTCACAGATATGGCTGGGAACTTGCGTGTGTGCTCCTACGACATGAAGGAATCTAAGACATCGGCAGGGTTTACTGTTTTCCATATTGGCATCTGGGAAATGGTCATATTGGCATTTGGCCTGGCCCTAAGTGGGATCACTATTGTGATGTGATTTCAAATGCTTTGACATGTGTAATGCAGGCAAGAAATTAGTTTTATTGTGGGAGAAAATACTGTTGTTCTCTTCATGTTTTGTGCTATTAATTTTGCCAACACAAGACCTGGAAATATATTCACACTAACTCAGCCAAGTATGGTGTGAGTGATAAATAAAACAAGGGGGAGTAACGTCTCCCCACGCTTAAATACTGGTCGTGGGGTAATTGTATGGGCTTGCTTTAAAATATATATTTTTAAATTATACTCTGCACTCCTTTCATATTTCTGGTATATATAATGAATATGGATAGACGTGTTAATGTAGATATGATCAGCTGGCTATCTCAGGAGACTCGTGCCTATGAACCTGTAAACAGTTCATGAAAATCATGCTGCACTATTATAAGTGGTGGTTTACATGTTGCTTTTAGAGGTGATTGTGTTATTATGTGGTCCCATAGTTGGTTTGTTCAATTATCTAAATTAATTTTATGATTTGTAAATGTTACCTATTACGTTTTGGTGTCGGGATTTACATTCGGTTGTAAAATATTTCTAATAAAAGGTAAAGGGGGGTGGGGGCAGCTCATTGCAATGCGAGGGAGGCATATTTCATGAGCCAGGAAGATCCAATAAACATTTTAAGGGACTGTTGTTGTATCCCTTTTTTTAACGAGATGAAACAAACCCATTGAGACACGTGAGACATTATCACATTTGCAACGGGAATATAGATTACGTCAAGAAACAAAGTAAAATATATTGTTTTAAATATCGAAAGTTAACTAAATGGAAACTGCATTTAAGAATGAATAAAATGAATACACTAAAATGTGGAAAAGGCTAAGGAAAATGCTACATTGCACTTAAAATATATAAATAAAACATGTATAATATATAACTTCAAGGAAACAAATTTGACTAGCTTAGGCAAGTAGAGTAATGCATACAGTTGCATAAAGTCATACGAAATACGACAGAAGAGTTTTGCTGGCTGGCTGTCTGTCTCGCGTGCGGGCAGGAAAATTGTGCGTGCGCGGTGTTGATTTCACAGCTCAGAGCTGCGTGATGACGTCGCCCGCATCCCATAGCGTTGAGCTGCGTTGGTACGTGCCGACGTCACACTCCACAGCCACCTTCCACCCCTTCAACGTATCCCTTGCAAATGCGTGGGCAGTGCTAGTATTATTACGTAGTCGCAAAAACAGTCGATACAAATATTTACGAAAATTTACTTAAAGCCTATTATATTTTTGTTCAAACTCAGATATGGAATTGAATTTAGACGCAATTTGAAGGTCAATTCCTTTCCGAAACGAGGGGCGTCAACCAAAATAATGCCAGGCTAAACCAATTTTTTTGCGCGAGGTACGATGCATTTAAAAAGGGTAGCACGCCTTAGATCGTGATGAATTGTATCTGGATATAAGCAACAAAGATGTGGCATTAACTTAAGTGTAAATTAACTGAAGATATTTCCCCCAATACATTGCACTCCTGTTTGAGAGAGGCCTAAAACCAGACGTAGAATAAGATATCACAGCGATGGGTTGAGTAATTGGCATCAAGGATGAAGAGTAAAGTGGAATGAAAAGTGTTGCTTTACTGAGTCCACCACTGAGTTTAAAGCAATACGTATTTGTTGGACCTGGCAATAGTTTAGAAGGCGAGGTGCCTCCATCTTCTGTTGTGTGGCATTTGGTCTACTTTTCCACGCTAACCAGACGTTTTGGCCGAGGTGTGGATCAATTACCTCTGGTGTACCCATTTATATTGACAGGAGATGAAACAGAACCAGCGACCTCTGGATTGCAGTCTAGTGTGGTAATCATTACTTCATGACTGCCATCTCCGTTTCTCAGTTAAAAAGGTAAAATATTATATTGGTTACCATGCATTTCTCTATATGTGTGGGAAACCCTTAACGAGGTTATACCCATTGTTTCCATTCGATTATTTGTATTGCAAAAACTATTTAACAACCCTAGTTCAGAGTGCGGTGCATGAATGACTGCAACACCACTGCCCCAAACCCCCTCTCCAACACGCACACATGGTATGACTGTAGGTTATTGGCCGGTTGTCATAACATTCCCACTTGTAAACATCAGGTGGTGATGCACACCTGTAAACCGGCACTGGAGGCAAATAGTGGATTTACATAAAGGTTGCGAAACTACCTTCCCGTGGGTGTAGAGGTACTTATACCCTGCCTTTCCAGGAGAAGGGTGGTACAGCAAAGTGTGGGCTAATCTCTATCTGTTCTATCTGTATGGAATAGTGTTCACCGTTGCATGCATGGCATTTCTCTGATTTCCTCCCGCATCTATGAACACTCAGTGATTAGCTGAAACTACATAACCATAGGAACGTATTAGCGGTACACTGGTACACGGTATATAAAAAAAGTAATTTTTTCGCAATAATTATTTTCCCGCGATTCGCAACCCTGGTCATAAAATCTTGTGGGGCGCGTCAAAATCAGTTCTCGTAATGTCGAAGCAGTCGGAAGACTAATGTTATGAGCGGCTGAACACGACGTTTTACAGTATGTTGCCGTATAGCACCTAGCCTGATGGCTATTGGTTCCATGTTGCAAAGGCAGATTTCACTCGTGCCCTATATTTGGTCGAACGGTTCTTCGATTCAACGGACCCAAATCAATGGTCAATATTGACCTTTTCTAGCAAGTCTCAATAGACTGAAGTAACCTTAAAATAGTGTCAAACTTGGCGACAGGGTCAATTAAAGACTGATACACAGATTTGCGTATATTTTTTATTTTAGACTGTTTTATGAGGACCGGTGTGTTATGCTGCACTTGTGTGCCGCGAATACGTCCATATTGAGTATGGCAGGCGTTGGACAATTGCTGGCGCCGGCTCACTGCGTGACGCCTTGCTGCTGGTCTGTGGTTCCTAATGCCTCTGAGTCATAGTCTCTCTTCGTGAGTGAGCAAATTTTGTGTGCCTAACAAGCCGGATTCATATATTTAATGATGTTTTAACTGCCAATATACCTGTTTAGTGCCAATATTGAACTTTAAAAAAATACAAACTTAAGTCAAAGTACGGCTGCAATTATGAACAGATCGACGCTTCTCCACATTTATAAGCAGTAACCCTCACACTGCAACATACAAGTTTGCAAGTTTGAATCTGCGATAATGCTTTCACGTAAGAGGTGACATTTTTTCATGTACAGTCTCAAAGTTTATATTGTCTCACTAATGCACGGAAAAATAAATGTGATGCAAATTAGAAGGGGAGTCAGAAAGGATGACATGCACTCACCAAGATTATTCACAGTGACCTCCGACGATGTTTTCTGAAAGTGTGACTGGAGACATGAAAACAGGCAGGAGACAATCATGGGCAGGGCTAATATTAGCCATCACAGATATGCAAACACCATCATCAAAATAACGTCCGATGGGAATGAACGACTGCAAATTATAGAAAAATACAATTTGCAATCAACGGTCATATGTAACAGGATCCCTAGAGAATTGTAAATATTGGGATACAACTGGAAAACACAGCATAATATGTATATCTACGAGACTTATCGAAGGTGGACCCAGATGAACTAAGTTGACCCCTTCACCCACCAATGTAATGGAGTGCAGTGTTCCAATTACAACACAACCGCAATAACAAGGCGCCAACCGGTAAACTGGTAACAGTTTTCAAAATAGATTATTGGCTGCAAAGTCCAGGAACCGGTAACGGTTTACAGATTAATGTTAGTAATGAATGCACCGATTGGCAAGAGCAAATGTACACACTGGATGACGGACAAAATAACATTTCCCTCGTTTCTTATTTAAAAGTAAAGATGAAATCCTGCAATGTCTTGCTTGCTTGCTCAGGCCACTCCTGGTAGAACAGCCCCCACTAAAGCGAGCTATAGGTAGTTTTCAGTTTGCTCTTCTTCGCTGACCAGACATCTTGGAATAGATGGGCGTAGCTAGGCCTCGGCAAGGTAAGGTAAAAGTTAAAAGGTAAAAAAACGAGCCTATTTTTACCCTACCTTTTACCTTACCACAATAGAGTCACTCTACCCTACCTTTTACCCTTTAGCAGGTAAGGTAAAAGGTAAAAGGTAAAAAGCAACGAGCTTACCTTTTACCCTACCTTTTACCCTTACCCCCCCGATTACAGGGTAATTACTAGGGAACTACACATGAACAAGGTTTATAACGGTAAATGCTAGGTAGAGCGCTTTATTCATATAGAATACTCTCGATGATTCCAATTTTATAGGCTTGTTGTCGTCGTCGTTGTCATTGTTGTCGTTGTTGTCGTCGTCGTTGTCGTCGTTGTTGTATCCTCAAATCTTGTAACTAAAATTTTACCCACTTCCTAATGTGGTATCGACTGCAAACTTGGTATACTTAGGTCATACTGATGACAATACTATATTCTATCATAATATCATTTTTTCTACGTTATGTTTCGGCTTTGGTCTAATTGTCCACGGTCAACTGACGTTGGCTGTAAATCACCACGGCACCTGACGTTATGGCAAGCTTCGGGGCCACTTCCTGGAGTCGTGGAGTTCTGCCATTACTCGAACATTTCATAAAAGCGTGTTTTTAATCAAGTTTGTTTTAATATTACTTATTAAATGGAGGCCACGGACTGCGCCACGGAGCTTTTAGCGGTAAACAAGGTACCGTATTTACCAGGTAATACTTCGCGCTACCTTTACCCTACCGGGTAATTCTTCCGAGCTACCTTTACCCTACCCTTTACCTTACCCCTTGGCATGTCGACATCTTTACCCATTACCTTTATCCTTTTACCCGGTAAAAAGGGTAAATTACCTTACCTTGCCGAGGCCTAGGCGTAGCCAACACATTTCCCCACCACACGTGCCCTGGCAATCGACTGTGGAACACCCATTTATATTTCTGGTTGGGCAGAGGCAGCGAATTTGAGAAACGTTCCGCATTGTTACAACTGCCACCCAGAGGGATTGAATCAAACCAGCGATCATGTTGAATGTGCGTACCATTACACCAGCACCAAATTCTCATCACGTCCAAAGACAGAATCTGCAGGTGAATGTTTACAATAGCCAGAAGCTGGAAATTTGATGTATAAACATTCACATGGGCTGTGATTGGACACACTGTCAATGTCTGCACCACAATCATGTTCCCTACTTTCCCTCATTGACGCTCACAAGGCTGTGAGTGTGGTCACGTTCATAAAGTGTTGAGGGTGAATTGGTAAATCATGCAGATATAATGTGCTACAATGCTTTTCTGAAAGCTCTTATCATCCCAATAAAATACATATAAAACACGTAATTTTTTTTTATTTAATTCTGTTATTTATATTACTACAACCATTTATATTATTAATATTGTCTTGAAACCTATAGAAGCTTCCAATTAACACATAGGCTTTTGCGACCAATATCATCCATAATACAGTTTTTTGGGGGTTAGATCGCGTAAATATATAAAAGTGTCGTTACGTGACAAACCTTCCTAATTTGCTGTGTGTGGTTGTGGCGGGTTTAATGACACATATATTTACGCGATATAACCCAAAAAAAACTGTATTATAGAAGCTTCCATGATTACATATGTAGTGGGTATAAATGGAGAGAGAGGCTTCTCTGGAGGGAACACGTTTTATTATAACATTAATAAAACCTAACATAAAGGGGTAATGGGCCTTTCCACCCGATACACTACGGAGGTATCTCCTCCAGACTATCGTGCCCTCACACTGGTTAAGCTCAGCCCTAACATTGGTTAAGCTTTAGCCCGACCCTAGCCAGGGGTTCGGGTTCTGCCCTCCGGGCTCTTCTTTAGGGCGAGTCTTCGGGTCTTCAGTGGCAGCTCCAGGTCTTCAAGTGTTCAACAGCAGCCGGACCCGTTCAGGGGTCCGGCTTTTATAGTCAGTCCCGCTCTTTCCGCTCCTGGCCACGCCTTCCTTCTAGAACCTTCTAGAGGCATCTGGAACAGGTCCCGGGGTCCCCCAGTCCCCTTCTTTGGGGGCCCCACCCCCGGTACCTCCGGCCACTAGCCCTCCGGGTTCATCCGGGGTGCCATGGCTTCCAAGCGCTCTCGCCTTCAGGTGCTGGCACTGCACCCGGAGTGCAATGTCGCACAACAGCCGTGCTGTTGGTGGTGTGAGCAGCGTGTCCCCTGCAGCTTCACGCACAGGCCGGCCTTATGCGACGTGCAGTGGCATCCCGCGATGCCACTGCACATACATTACATTTGCCTGTTTATTTGTTTAAAACGTGTCTGTCTTGAAAATAAATGACGCAAAAATGAACAACACATTTTTAAAGCATGTCATTGCGATGGCAAAGTCTGACCATTTTTTTTTATTTCAGCAACATCTTTTTACAGCTACCGTTATAACTGTCACCAAATACATACTATTTTTAAAGGACCGAATAAATGTATATAGTACAGGCAATAAAAGATAGAGGACCATATCATTTCAGCAAGGCAAGGATATAACAGTGACTAACGCACAATGCATGGTATTTTTTATGTTACACACACTTGGTTTGGCATGCAACATTTGCCTAAAATAGGGTGGGACCAGTAGAATAAAAACCCTTGCTGTTAGTAGCTCACTCATTCTTGTCTGTGTAGTTGCATGATATCGATTACATGGGAAAATAACTCAGCGGATAACGTTCACGTTGAGCTTTTATTTTTTTCGCATTGTCTTCGTGCTATCGTGTGTGTCGTTTTCTGCTTCCGCGTGTATCATTCATATCAAGATAGGGCTTGCTGTCAACAACACCAAAAGGAGGACACACTGAGGAAAAAACGTAAGTATTCATCTAAGTGGCAGTGCATATAAAAATTCACTAACACCTCGTATGGCAATAAGGGCGTTACAGGACTTGTGTCGTTTTCCGTGTGCCTTTACTCTTCGGTGTCTTTATCCCCGTGTTATTTCCAAGGGCCTCTCTCTTTCTACATCTCTCTCATTTTGTCTCCGTTCCATTTCTTATTTTCTTTTCATGTGTCTTTACGTGTGTCTCATGTTGTGTATTTTCCCCATCTCTTTCCTCCTGTGTTTATTTGCCTTTCTCTTAACTCGTGTCTTTAATTGGACTCATCGAGTTTCTCTCAGCCCCTCTCTTCCAATGTCTCGTCTCCTCGTTGTTCTTCTCCTGTGTCCCTTCTCTTGTTAATCTCCTTGTGCCTTGACTGTGTGTGTAGAGACTGCAGAGTTAATGTATATAATCGTTACGTATTTTGTTAAAATTTGTCAATCAACGTATGCGAGGGGTCTTGAATATATAATATTTATTTTACAGTCATATTGATTTTACAATCCAAGCTATGAGATGGGTGTGAAGATACAGACTTTATCTTGTTATATATACTCAGAAACATGGGGAGTGAAAGGCATAGGTAGAGAGAAACACACGGAGACACATGGAGAAAAACAGTGTTTAGAGACACAGGATAGAGAGACTTCCTGCGACCCTCCCTGATTAGCTGTTCTGATCGCCTATTTAACAAATACCAGTATATGTGACGTTATGGATAAGACAATTGTTCATGACAATTTATATCACTTTGCATCTTAGTAAAACATCGGACAAGATGAACAACTTTTTAAATTAGAGCATTGCCAATATGGAGATAACATTCAAACCTGTAACTGACGACAAACCTGTATCTATTTGGTGTTTGAACATCTTAACACCTGTTTTATTACCAGAAAGGGTAAAGCCTATTTTTATTTTTTTCATAATTTTGACACTGGCAAAAAGGGCCAATAGATATACAGTAACTGCCCAACCCGAGCTATGAATACTTTGATACTTGCATTGCCTTTGTACTGTACACCTTTTTGCGTTCTCTGGTCTAACACTGATGAAACAAGGCTAGAAAGGAGGCTGTCTATGGTGTCGGCCTATCAATTTCAAAATCCATGCATATATTATCAATTATAATTATAAAATGTGTACAATTATTGGAACATTTAACGTTTCTCAACTTTATATGAATACATTTTCATTGAAATAAGCAGAGTTGGTTTTGCTAATTCTTATTAGTAACCCAGTGAATGGTCACTGTGCTGCGACTATCAAATTAATACAGTTTCATCAAACGTGGCTGTCTCGTTGGAGCTCAGGATCTCAGCGGTGCCCGTACAGTTCTCTGATCTTTGAGCCACCCAGCCACCTCTGAGGCTGAGTGGAATTATAATTTACTCGCATTTTAGTTTCAAATGGACGGATGTTTTTAATAATTGAGCAAAGAAAACAGGGTTTAATCAACTTAACTCAAAATTCTGTATAACCAATTAGTTATATAAATACATATTTCGCAATTGTAGGCCTAAACCGTTGCTACCGACTAACCACATGCATTTTGTAATGCGACCCAACATGATGCTTATATTTAACATACGTACGTATGATAAAATCCTATTTTAACTCATCACGTCGAACACTGTGTCTCGGTGTATAGATGCGAGCGAAGGGAGTGGTGGGGCTGCTGCTGGCTCTCTCCTTGTTGGCCGGACAAGCAAATGGATTCTTCCCGAAAAAATGGCTGGCCTCCTTTGCATCGATTTTCGCAAAAGAACGCACTATTAGTCACGTGCAAATGACCACTACAGCTATCGAGGTGGTGGTGGAAGAAATGGCAAAGGTACCAATAGATGCTTGGTTAAACAAAGATTTGTTAAGGTCTTGTGAAGCTAACTACAACTGTATCTTCCCCTATCCTGAGCTGTGCAAACTGCTGACACCCCTTGATGAAGTTCAGACAAACCACTTTCCTGTTTTCATCTGCCTTTACAGTAATTGCGTAATGTCTAGTTAATTAGCTTGATCATAACTGTTGTATTCTGCGATATGTTTTCCTTACACATTTGCAAATCACTCATTGCATGCTTTCTACATTTCCTATACTTTCTACACCCCAGTCTTACACGAGACTTCCCCAAAGCATCTCTTTCTCAATCTGATTGAAAGATACATTTTTGCTCATGTAAATAATGTTGTGGGTGTGTTTTAATTTGGTACACGTTAAAATGTATCTTCTCTCCAAAAGTCAAGCAGAGAGCAATAAACAGCCGTATTAACATAGATTATAGTTTGCACACTTCTTGAATTAAGCAAGGTTGTAAAAGCTTGAAATAAGAGAGGAATGTATGTGTAGTGATTACATGTTTTATTTCAAACATGCAAACATCCCTATGTACATCACATTTCAGGCACTCTAAAATGTAATTACAATTGAATCAATCAAAACATAACGGAACATGTATTTAGTAGCATTTTAAAGATAAAGATTCATATTAATTCGATGCCTTAATAGCATGGCATCTCAAAGTTCTTTACGAAATACAAAACTATGCGAATACACAAATCAGAAAATCAGAACATTAGCGGCCGAGCCAAAAATAAAAGAACAATTAATGAGGGCGGTCATAAAAAAAGGGTCACTGTGCACCTTTAACCTAACTAATAACCAACGGGAACCATTTGCTCGTAGGAAGCCTCCAACTTCTTAATTATGGCTGGTACTGCAACAGAAGAGCACAAGTATTCAGTGCAAGCGTTCTGAAGGACGCTGTCTTCGCGAACGTGCAAATTATGACATTAAAGCACGCCAATAATTAAATAAAAATAGAATGTATTTAATTGCCTTTACTAATTTTCAAAGTATGTGATACATTTGACCATATGATCTTAGCTTCTAGATTGTCAGCTTATTGCATAAGCATTAAGGTAGTGTGTCTGATTTTGGCTTACCAAGAGGGAATATCACTGTATAAAGTCACAATTCATCAGACATCTCTTCGATATGAGGTTCAATAGTTCTGTTATTTGTATGGTATATATATAGGTATTACAGTGGCATGATAATTGCTGCTATGTTTGATCTTTCTATATGTTTGGTTTTGACAATATACTCTGCACATATTCTTTGGGTCTTTCGGGAAAGCCCCGTAGATATAAAAAATAATGAAAATTTCACGACGTTTTGATCGCAACACAAGCAATCGTCATCAGGTAAATAAAAATAAAGGGAGAGCTGCTAAGGCAGGATGTTATATAGGTTTGAGATGGGTGTAGCCCAAGGGTCATAATCAAAGTGGGCGGGGCTAGTGATGACATTTGCATGTAAATGTAAGATTGGAGAGCTATCTTCATGACGACGAACAGCGGAGGTGGCCATTGTATTGTGAGAGATTAGCATGTCAATGTAAGATCGTAGAGCCACCGCCACATCGAGGAAAATGAGCCACGGTGGCTGTGTTAGTAAGACATTTAACCTGTTAATGTAAGATTGGAGAGCTACCTCAACAACCGCCATTCGCCACTAAGTGGCGGTGACGTCACCACGGCGCTTGTGCCAGGCTATGTGCACCTTGAGGCCACGTGACGTGTCAGACGCCCGCTGGCAGGAGGTCACGGGGCAGACCCAGATGCCACGGGTCGACTGACTGAGACGACTGGCTGATGCACCACCTGTGACCCCTACTGTGCCAACTTGCTGTGCTTTAGCCACCCCATGCTCTGCTCATTGTGGTGAGCATCGTTCCTCCGCCCTCTGTTATTGTTGGAGGGCGACTGCCACCAACTGCCCAGTAGTGTCCTTCACGAGCCTCCCCCACAGAGGCCGATCTTAACACCGCTGGTACCAGTCATCGGCAAGTCCGCTCAGCTCCATATCCTCCTGTACTAAATCACTCCATCTGTTCTCTAGCCCATGCCACGCCCGTTTTTCCCCCTCGATCCAGCCGAACAAAATCTGTTTAGGCATGTGGTGGCTGGGCATGCGGGCTACATAACCCAGCCAATGCAGCATTGCCTGCCAGAGGATCTCACCGATGGGACTTGGTCCAGATCTTTCAAGGATTTGTGAGCTCCTCACACAATCCAGCCTGGTTAAACCCAGGATAGATCGTAGGCAGGCCAGCCTAAATGTTTCTAACCGGCAAAGATGTAACATTATGGGGGTCCACGTTTCGCAAGCATAAAGAAGGGAGGGAATAACGGTGGCCGAGAAGACCTGAAGCTTCGTGCGGAGCGAGAGACCAGGTAGCTTCCACACAGCGTTATGCAACCGATGAAAAGATAATGCCGTTCGACTGCTGTTAAACCGGAGCCGGTCATGAGCACACTGCCAAGGTATGGGAAACTCTCCACTTTCTCCACAACTGCCCTATCACCAATTGGGAGTTGTGGGGGTGCAAAATACCCAGGCAGGTGCTTAGTTTTTGGAGGGGCTGATGGTAAGGCCCCACCTCTTGGTGGCAAGCTCCAGGTTCAGCAGCAGTGCCTCCAACTCCTCCTCTGAGTGAGCAGCAATTACCAGATCATTGGCATACATATCGTGGTTGAGCAATAGTGAGCCAGCCCTTGACCGCACCCGGGCATCGATCAGCTTCCCCTTGCATCTGTACTAGATGGAAATTCCTCCGGTACAGCTATTGAAGGCTTCACAAACTACGTGGTCAGAATAGATGTTAAATGATATGGGAGCCAGAGGACATCCCTGTCGCACCCCGAGGTGTAGAGGGAATGGCTCTGACTCCTGGCCACGTAGTTTTACTCGGGCCCGCTCACCATCATGAAGGTTCTTAATGATCGTGAACAGAGGATCAGGGACTCCGAAAGCACTAAGAACTACCCAGAGCCCAGACTTACTGATGGTATCATAGGCCTTGACCAGGTCAATACAGCAGAGATGTAGGTCTTGTTGGGATTCCCTACACCTCTGCTGTAGCAGACGCACAGAAATAATGACATCTCTGCAGGACTGCTCTTTCCTGAAACCGCATTGGGGTGCCGCAAGCCTTACCTCAGCGTGCCTAGCAAGGCAATGTTGGATAATCCTTGCCAGGACCTTTCCCGGCACACTGGGGAGTGAGATACCCCTGTGGTTGTTACAGTCTGTGCTGTCCCCCTTCTTAAAGAGGGGGATCACCAGGGCGGAACCCGTCCAGTGGTCCAGACTGTTGTTATGATGTCATGTAGGGCAGTCTGTGCACAAACGCCACCCTCCCTCAGCATTTCGCTTGGGAGATCATCTCTGCCCGTGCCTTTTCTGGTCTCAGACTCTGGTTCGCCCTCAGTACTTCCTCAACAGATGGCACCTCAGCCAGCCACTCACAGGGGGTGACTTCTTCTAATATTTGAGGCACTGCAGCCTCAGCAGGGTCATCCCCACTTTGTCCCACATTGTTTTCCTGGCTGAGGGATTTCCCCTCCCCCAGGACCTCACAGAAATGCTCAGCAAATCTGCAAACCTGTTCCTGGGGGTCAGAGATTGGATCACCGTTCTTTCCCTTAATGATGGTAATAGGTGTGGCGCTGCAGGTTACTTTTTGATGGAATTAAAGAGCGATTTGTGATCGTGGGCCACTGAGGCAGACTCCATCTCCTCAGCAACCTGCGACCACCACCCATCCTTGCAGCACCTCACGGCTCTCCTAACCTCCAAGCAAAGGCTGCGGTAAACCTCCTCATTCTCCGACGTGGGATGCTGTAGCCGATGAGAGTGGGCCTGTCACTTTTTCTCAACCAACTTGAACACCTCCTCTGTCAGCCAGGGTCTCTGGGGAGGTCTGGACCGTGTACCTAAAGCAGCCATTGCAGCTGTATGAGCCGCAGTCCAAAACCTCGCCCATTTCCCCTCGACATCAGGAGGAGTGGGGGACGATGCCAACCCCAGCCACAAGCGATGATGAAATTCTCGCTTGCAAGTTTCATCAGCTAGCAGAGACCATGCCACTAAAGGTTTAATTGGGGTCCTGGCTGTATATCCACTAACGGAGTGGAAGAATGGCAGGCACATCTTACAGATGACAAGTCGATGGTCAGTGGGCAGATCAGTTCCACGGTAGGTCCTGGTGTCAAGGACATGGGCTCGTATCCACTGTTCCGTCACTACATAGTCCAGCAGATGTTCTTGCTTGGACCCGGCATGCATCTATGATGTGGTGTGGATGCGCCGATGCCACTTTAGCTAGCACCTGTGACAGGAGGTCATACAAGGCATCTTCCCTCCACGGATGTTCGTTTTCAGTGGGGGCATAAGTAATCACGAAAACCACTCCTCAACTTTGGTTGATAGGAAGGCGAGCCCAAAGTAGCCTGGGGATTACATCTTCCCACACCTCACCGCCACGCTCCCACGCCCTCTTCATTCTTTAATTCAGAAGAAGTGCCACACCCTGTTGTTTGGCAGTCTTCTGCCCCGAGTAGAGGACTGTCCACCCCTCATGGTGGCAGGAGCCAAAGCCGGTCCACCGGACGTCCTGTATACCACAGAGATCCAGGCGGTACTGGTCCAGCTCCCGACAAAGGAGTGGCAGCTTCTCCTCCGCAGTGAGCATTCGAACATTCCACGTTTCCACACGTAGTGGTTTTATTTTGTTTCTGGAGGAGCCCCGAGTTTAAGGATTCAGTCTCCTGGCTCCGCCAAATGGGGTTTGGCCAGGAGACGTCATAGACGCCTGTCCCCCCAGGGGCCTCCAGCACAAGTGTAATAAATGTTTTAGCTCGTAGTTTAGTGGTAGTTAATTGAAGGTGGAGGGAGGGGTTACCAGCCCATCGCACCTGTCCAGAGCCCCCATTTGGCCACTGTGGTGGTTACAAACGCCATGAAAGGAGAGGAGAGGACAATCTGAATTGGTCCTCCCCCCATGGCACTGCCCACGACAGCGTTGCCCGTCTGGCACCACGAGGAGGTAGGGGGTTGTTTTTGCCGGACAAACACACACATACATAGACTCACATGTACATTGAACTACGCACACACATAATGACTTGCACACACACACATATGGACTTACACACGTCGATTGACACACACGCATTGACTTAAACACAAACCGCACACACACATGGACGTACACAAACAAACACAGCGACTGTCACACATACACATTGACTCACACACACATTGATGAACGCACACACGGACTCGCACAGACACAACGCACACACATATATGGACTCACACGCACACATGGATGTACAGACGCACACTCTAACTTATATAGACTAAATAAGTTTATCAATAATATTTTTCTACGTACGTGACTTTAGAGAAAGAAGCAAGGGAGAGGGGAAATGCACGCGAGTATAATAAGTAATTACGAGCGACCACGAGGGTTTTCCTACATTTTGGTGCAAACATTTGCCGCGAGCAAGAGCGGCAAAGAAATGAAAGTCAACGAATACAAAATTAACCTAACCTACCTGTAACTATGAGCAGATGCGCACCAATCAAGCGTCATTGACATAACGTCACTGCTGAACCCCCGTACTGAGGGGGCAAGTGTAAATATTATAGAATATAAACGCCTAACTTTATATGTGATGAACGCTGCACTTCCCGTCGTTTTCATGCAGGAGGCGCGTAGGTTTGAACGACGGTAGGCGCACGGACAGACGTTCGAATGTTGGAATCGATCTGCAGAACGACGATTCGGTGTTAATTCCCATAATAATTTCCCAGAATCAACTTGGCCCCCACCGACACGACTTTGCCATTTATTTTGCAATGACGACGACAATTTCCCATTCCCTCAGCTCTCCCCACATACACTATCACTATCAACATGTCGCAGGGACAGACGTTCGATTACGTTGGTAAGCACACAACTTTATCTATCTTACTCTTTGGTTCTTTCGGTAAAGTCATGTAGGTAGAAATAAAACAAAATCAAACAAATCACGACATTTAGATTGCAACACAAGCAATTTTCATCAGGTGAAACAACCACAACAAAAAAATGCTGAAGTCGGCGAGAGAGCTGCCATGGCAAGAGGTTATATAGGTAAAACAGGGGGGGGCAAGGGGAGAGAGGGGGGGGCAAGGGGAGAGAGGGGGGGGGGGCAGGGGAAGGGGGGGCTGCGGGGGCGCTAGGGGGAAAAGAAGTGAGGCTTGGGGGGGGGGGGGTGGGCGGGGCTAGAAGTGGGAAGCTGAGTGTGGGACACGGGGGGAAAGTAACTAAGAAAATTTTACTAGTAAACGGCAGGTAGGATGGGAACAACCACAACCAGTTAAGGCTTTACCTGGTTAATAATATCCTTCCAATGCTTGCTCAATTTGTATCCATCTTCTCGGTTGAAGTTATGTCTATGTTTATATATCTTTATTTGATGAATAATATAATATAAGATGTAAATCTGTGTAAGTTACCTTGCGCAGTGTCCACACGAAAGATAATTACCCCCTCACCCCCACCGAACGCATGTGCCTTGGTAGGGCCCCCCCCCACCGAAAGCGTGTCAGTTGGTATGGTCGAGCACGCGCTAGCTAATAAATAAATAACCATAAACAGCACTAAATCGCAGATTAAACAAATTTAAAGGTGACGGACGCGAAATCGGATCAAGAATAGACCTGATGGCTCGTTGGGACACTCTGTCTATAAGAAAGCCACCCACAAGGATTCCTATCTAAAGGCTGACTCCCACCACCATCCAGCCCAGAAGAATTCCCTCATCAAAACACTACACCATAGGGCCCGTTGCATCTCCGACCAGCACCACCTAGCCAGTGAGCTTGAACACGTATGCCAGGCTCTCAGGAGGAATGGATATTCTGACCGCACAATCCGCAAAGCTGCATCCCCAACCATGGGTATAAAACCATCTGAGGACCCAATCAAAACAATCACTTTACCATACAAAACAGGGGTCACCAAAATCATTGCCAAAATCGTAAACAAACTCCAGATCCAAGTTCGATTCAATACAGTACACAAAAGGCTTGATTTGATCCCATCGGTGAAGGATGCGATTCCAGACATGCAATGTCCTAGTGTCGAAAGCTGAGCTGTGTCTGCTGCAGCAGTTACATTGGTGAAACGAAGCCACGCATCTCGGACCGGGTGCGCGAACACAAAGCGGATTTGAAACACGGCAGAACCAACTCCTCGGCAGTGGCGGATCATTGTTTCAATGCTGTGGGCACACATGACATTGTTTTCTTCGAGACCATGGTGCTCTGCAAACCCTCGGGCCACCTTCAGACATCTGTTCATAAAGCTATCCAGATATACAAACACAGACAAGACTTTAATCGAGAAGATGGATTCAGATTGAGAAATCATTGAAAGGATGTGATAAACCACGTCAAGTTTTAACTGCTATGATTTTCACTCACCCACCCGGTTGTTGTCGTCCTCTCTCACTCACCCGGTTGACGTCGTCCTCACTCACCCACCTGGTTGACGTCGTCCTCACCCACTCAGTTGTCGTCGTCCTCACTCACCCACCCGGCAGTCATCGTCCGATTATGACTTGTACTACAAGTCCATTTACTTGCTAATTTCTCTAGCCCTACCCGTCCATGCACGCCACAAACCCTCCCCCCCCCCCTGTGAACTCCCACAGCCAAACTCCTTCCCCACCCCTTCCCTCTTCCTTCCCGTGCCTATATAAAGCCACAAGAGCAGATATTTTTTTCACACCTGAAGACGGACGCTTGTGTTGCGACCGAAACATCGTGTTTCATTTTATTATTATTTTTTTCTCTCTACGTGACTTTACCGAAAGAACCAGAGAGTATGGATTCCTGCAGTCACGTAAGCTTCAAATCAAGAATGTTGTCGTAAGTTGATAAAATTATAATTACGTATATGAAAGATATTTCCGGAAAAAAACATAAAGAATCAAACATTGCAAAATATGTCACGCCATCTGTTTCATTTTTTGTTTATTAATACATAAATAATGTTGGCTCAGGTTTTGATTAATTCTAAGATATGATACTTTCATGCTGATGATATGATACTTCATACACCTACTGTACATCGTCTGTCACTGAATTTCAAGAAAATTTTAAATAATGTTAGCAATAGTCAATGTGATATTGTATCATTGAGATGTGACTAATTCAAGCAAGAGCGAATGTTTAATCTATATGACCCAAACGTTTTCTCGAAATGAAATTCACGTACCACTATATATAATGTAGCTTCTCCATTGGAAGCATTCCTTTCTACAATACAATATATGTATATCTGGTTATATTCTCATCCAAATTGCAGTGAACATATGCAAAACCATTTTAAACAGGCTTCTTGGTGCAAAAGGAGCAGATATTCCTTGAACTTAAATTGTTGCAGCCCGATATGTTTTAGCTGCCGGGCTGCTCCACACAGCAGACATGCAGCCTTCGACGGGAGACAATTATATTGTTCTTGCTTAAAGAACGACGACTCACCAATGCAATTTGGGGTCAGTCTCTTCATAAGAGAGCCATTGCTTGATATTTCTTGAAGTGGCCCTCATTTTGACCTGGAAAATGTACGTACTGAACCGCCCCCTACTGGTATGTTTATTTGCAATGTTATGAATTAGTTCAACGCTCTTGTCATATCTCCACGAATGTAGATTTGAAAACATCTAGGTAGTACGTTTTTAATTACTGCATATTTATTGTTGTCATTTTTACTTGCAGGCAAAAGAATCCATAACTGGCTACAAGGTAAACTACAAAGGTACCCCGAGCTATAATCTCGCGAAGGATGTCATTTTAACATCGAATGCAAACACAGATTCAGAAAAAAACACGAAAAATGATCCAAGATACCATTTTGATGCAGAGAAGTTCGTAGGTGCCCTCGAGATAATGATCGGGAATCGAAACAGATTAATTGCATTGCTCAGGAAAAATGAAATAACAACTGTGGACTACATCACAGCACGACAGCTGACGGGAACCATTCTCCACACATTGCAGGTATGTGCACTACACTTAAATTGAGATAGGGAAAAAACTCTACACATTTGTAATGTAAATAACAAATAATAATTAGAATGCAGAAGCACACTTCTATCAATCATCACATTTCTCACTGCACACAAACATCCACAAATCTGAGCATTTTGTGTTTAAATGTTTTATTTAGCATGAGTATTCATCAACCGCGTCATTAGTAATCTGAATTTAACAATTCTTTGGTTCTTTCGGTTAAGTCACGTATAAAGATAAAATAATAAATTAAATAATAGCATACTACTACGTTTCGATTGCAACATAAGCAATCATCATCAGGTATAAAAGAAATAGCAACAAAAATCTAACCAGAAAACTATAGACAGACACACAAGTAGACAGACATCACAAAGACACACAGAGAGAGAACACGTATCAGCAGAAAGAGAGAGGTCGTTTCTGTGACGAGGCCTTAAATATAGAGAGGGGGCGGGGGCGGAGAGAGGGAGGGGGCAGAGAAAAAATTAGCATGTCAATGAGTGGACGACGACGTGGTATGGTAAGCAAGACGACGACGTGGTACAGTACGCAAGCTTGAAAATTAGAAGAAAGACACACTAAAATTAAATAACCTAGTAAAATATCGAAATGTAATGTAATGCAACACAGAGAGTCGGTCAACACAATTAACGCATAGCCCGGTTGATTACGTATTTCAAAGATTGCTAAGTTAGAATTTAAGTGTGAAAATTCCAAAGAGAGGACACAGGCAGAGAGAGAAAACAAAAAGCCAGAGAGAGAGAACAAAGATAAGCTTAAAACTTCCCCGTAGAAGTGGTTCAATCTCAATTTTGGAGCTTTCGTGACTGCAGGAATTATTCTTTGGTTCTTTCGGTTAAGTCCCTCTCTCCGCCCCCGACAGACACACAATGCAATAATTGATTACTTCCGAATCTCATAGTGTATTTGAAAGAGTATGTTTCAATAACTAAAGAGATTTAGAATCGTTCTGTAACATATCCATATACAGCAATGCATATAAAATAAAATGTACTATCATAGAACTGCTTTTTCTGTTTAGTTTGTTATTCTTCCCCCACACCTTCGATGAGCACGGTTGGCTATGTACGGTGTGAATGAAGTTGCACTGGTAATAACTCATTCTATTTATAAGTATACGATATTGATGTGCAATTTCCGTTGACGATTCTATCTGTTTTAGGATTTCTACAGCCATTCAAACTGGATTGAAATGGGAAACACAAAGCCAAAAGATAACATATTTAGCAATGATTTCTCAGAAAAAGAAGTTGCTGGTAAATTGCATATTACTAAATATTGCATTACATTTTAATAAATTCTAAGAAAAATATTTTTACTATGTTATTTTGTCTTAATGTATTTATTACCTACATAAACAGAAATACAAGCAAAAAGTATGGTACAAGGGGTAGCCAAAAACATTGAGAGGTGAGCTTTTTCACTTCTGTGTCAGTTTAAACAATTACAATTATTTTCCTGACCCTGGTTTACACAGTACGACTCCACTCCACTACTTTTGTTTCGTGTTATTTTTTATTTTACACATATAAAAGGAGTGAATGAGCTCGATTGCCAAATTATCTGTATTTTTTGTGATTGAGGGGATGCAGATAAAGGGAATTGAAACTCGTTATTAATATGATATAAATGTATCCTATACATGAACGTTACTTAATCAAGGGGTCTCACAATTATCACAGATTTGAATAATTGTATTGTAATTGATGGGTTTTAATGTGTCAAATTAACTCAGATTATACTTCACAATGCAGTGCTCATAATGTTTTTTCTTCCATTCTCCCTCCAGTTTGTTTGTGTTTATGTGAATTGGCTCTCATTTGTTCATGGATTTGTATGTTGTGGCCTTTATATCTTCATTCGCTTAAGGACCAGATGTGCGCACATGCACAAACTGTGGGACAAATTGTGTAAACAATATAAGACCGGAAATAAATTCGAAAAGCCTTCTTACCAGCGGATATTATTCATCTCAGAAGATTGGGAATGTTGCTGTCCCAAAGCCTAAAGGAAAATGTAAGTTGCATGGTACGGTTCATTTTCAGGTAAGGTAGTCAGCAATCCAGAGACTTGCCTTCAAGGTCAAGTTAGTGGATCATGTATTAATTTCAGCGATAGAGCATGTGAAACATTTGTCTGATGAGCAGTGATGAGATACTGACACCACCATTTCTGGAAATACTTTTTTGCATGGTTAATCACATCTTTCCAATGATTACTCAGTTTGTAACCATCATCACGGTTGAAATTATGTCTGTGTTTGTATATTTGTATGGCTTCGTGTACAAACCTTTGATGGTAGCCAGGAGGTTTGCAGAGCACCTTGGTCTCGGAAAAGACAATTTCATGAGCGCCCACAGAGTTGTAGCAATGATCGGCAACGGCCGATCATTGCTACAACTTAACCATGCAAAAAAGATTTAACTACACTTATTTGGACCATCTTATTTGACAGACAACTATTACAGGTTACTGATAGACAGCCAGTTTTGTTTTACCAGGTTTAGCTTCTTTTTTCACACTTTTATGTAGGCTAGGCGTAGTCACAAACCGAACCTCTCCATAATAAAGGCTCAGTCATTTGTTATGTAGTCTATTACCATCTACATGGCAGAGGCTCGGTCTCATTTGCAGCATTTTGTTATGTAGGCTAGGCGTAGTCACAAACCGCACCTCTCCATAATAAAGGCTCAGTCATTTGTTATGTAGTCTATTCGTAGTCTCAAGCCGCACCTTACCATAATAATAAAAAGTGGGCCGTTCCTGGCCCTTCCCCCCCCCCTCAACCATTATTTATACGGAGTGGTATCTCTTGTAATCTCTCATTTACTTGATACAGCTGTCGGGCTGTGACGGTTCCACCTGAAGACGGAAGCTTGTGTTGACTCCGAAACGTCGTGATTTTTATTTGTATTTTATTTTACTTTTATTAATTTAAATTTAATTTTTTTACCTACGTGACTTTACCGAAAAAACCTATGAATATGAATCCTTGCAGTCACGAAAGCTTCAAATTTAGAATTGAACAGAAATAGTTCCGACTCCTCGCCACGCAGGTTTATCATGGCCTGCCCACCAACATTGACTTCCTAAATAATTATGAGTATAGGGTCTGGAATCCAGTCCTGGCCTATTGATGGCATCATAGGCCTTGACCAGGTCAATCAAGCAGAGATCTAATTCAATGTCACCTTAAATGCATACATACATACAACAACAGCTGACATTTGCTACTAACTCATAGTGATGTCACCACAGTGTTTGTGCTGGGCTAGGTTCACTTCTAGACTTTGTTACATGTTGCAGGCTCGCTGGCAAATCACAGACATGGGTCTGTCCTGTGTAACTTTTGGAGACTGCCTACTCTTTACTCTTCGGCTTTTATTTGAGAGTCAGTCATAATCATAGTAAATTTTTATATTTTCATTAAATGATGCTGTTTTATTTACGTACCTTTACGTTTACAAATATACTGATACATCTACTATTTGTGCATTTCTGATCTCTTCCTTTTTGTTGCCTTCATTCGCACTTTTTTATGTTTCGTGTTCTTTTTTATCATTCCTTTCCGAATGGTTTGAAATAAGTAAGTGTGTTCAATCCTAAGCCTCGCATCGCCGTATCTTTTTATGCTTCTCCTGTTTCTCAACGTGACTTTGCGGTTTCAGAGACATTTGTCACTGTTTACTTTCTATCCTTTCCCCCAACTCCCAGTACACCATCTATTACGATGTTAGTTAATGCATAATTTAAAATGGTGACATTCATTTAATCAATTTGATTCGTTTGGAATTTGAATGTGTTGCTTCGAATTAACGTTAAATACGCTACCAACTGCCATGGCTTTTTTCATGTGAAATATCTTTGTTTGTCTACAATTACTTGCGTCTGCTTGTTGGATATATTGAAGTGAAACTTGCATCGCTCAAGTCAGTGGTCTCTTCCTGTGTTGAATTTGTTGCGGACATATTAGAACTACAAAGGTATCCCCTTTCCTTCTTTACCTCACTAATACCTACCGTGTCCTCATTGTTGTAACCATACTACACCACATTGCGTGTTGGTGAAAGATTATTTTACATCTATACAAAAGTACAAATAACTGTTTATATGTTGCAGGGAAGTGCAGCCATGGAGGGCTTCTCGATATGACAAGGTTGACCGAAGCTAAGGGGGGTATGAACAAAGACGGTTCCCTTAAACTCTTTTCACCACACTACTATCTGCATCAAACAGCTGTCGATGTGGCAACAAAAGCAACCATCAAGTTCTTCAGAGATCTCAGAAGTGAAGTAGACAATGACCTTGCTTTCGGAAGGTAAATGTCGGCAGAAATTGCTGGTTGTTGCAAAATATACGTTTCACACACAACGGTTAGAACACCTTTTTTATTTCTCCAAACTGTGTAAAAAGTGGCAGACTGTAAACAATCACACATATTCACGAAAGATGTACAGGATAAAAAATATGTAGATGAGAATTATAATTGTAATGATAATAGCAATGGTAATGTAGATGAGGTTATTGATGATGATGATGTGTATAATGATCATAATGATAATCAGGTTGATGTTACTGTTTTGCTACTGCTGCTGATGTTGCTTTTGATGCTTATGACAATGATAAGATGTCAAAGAGAGAGTGTTCCTATGAACGTCTGAATATTAGGACTCTTATAAAGAGTGTCTATACATGCAGGAAGAGAAAATGCATGACTAGAAGGGATGGAATGTGTGCAGATATGTCATTGTATTGTTCTCTCCTGGCCGTCGAGCATCTCAGCAGGTTTGGAATTTTAAAAAAAATTCTACAAGATCCACCATCTATTGCCTTCTAAATTATGGATTGCAGGAATCATGCGAAGAATGCACTGTGCATATATTTGAGGCCAAGTCAATCTAAGAAAGGCTCAATAGGTTCTGATACCACACACGACTGATGTGTGGCATGGGCATTTATACGATTTATGTGGCTGGGTTCATAGCAAAGTGCATGAACCACTGCATTCTGAATAATACACGGATGCCTACATAAATACATACATATGCATGCAACTTTACATACAAAGAACAAATGTACACGTGCATAGACACATTCACCTATGCGTGGGGGGGGTGACATAGGTCGGGGGCAGAGAGGTATTGGTGGGAAATTTCAAATCCGACAGTGAGGTAGGGATTGGGGTGCAGACGAGGCACGGCTCGAGAAAGCAGAGATGGACATAGCAGGAGGCAGCTTTGTCAGAGAATGTTGGATAAAACGGGATACTTAAGGTTTAGGATTTTTTTCGAGATCATCCTAGAACACGAATTGATTCGAAATTGCTCTTAAAACTCACGAAGGTATTGTACTATCAGAAGGAAATTGCAAAAAAAGGATGCCAAAATCTAGCAATTTTACCTACATGATGTTTTAGAAATGGGATATACACCCATATTTGCTGGTGACGAACTATACATTGCATAACCTTTTTTTTAAATATAGCTACAGGAAAAAAACGTGCCAAAAATTAATTAAAGTATTTTGAACGCTTAAACCCATTCTAGGCTTAGTCTACAAGCAAAGTTGCCAAGTGAATCGTCCGTCATCACTGTTCACACAAGCACACGCTTCTGTTCTTTGAAAAAAGATCGGTGCAGTTGACACACATGCAATTAGTATCGTCATCTGATTCGCTGCTATCATCCACCTTAAACGGCATACCTCTATTCCATTGTAACCATTTCCATTAAGTTCCAACAGACACTCCTGCGCAACGTTGTAACGTTACTTATTCACTTGTTTGTGATCCCTGCAAATTTTTTATCTAATTTATCTCAGAAACAGAATATTAATACTGGAGGAATCCGATGAGCTACAACGCTTTTTTCACAAATGTCCAGAAGTATATCTAACTATATATATTGACACAGCCATCTACATATGCAGACCCATCTTTTTATAGTAGACTCAGAAAAAATCAAACAAACTCATCTCGTTTGCACGCAACGTGTTTTGCAAGCTCGCCGAGGGGTGGCTTCATCATTGCCCTCACTGGCGACAGTTGGCTGCAGTTTGTAGAGAAGACAACGTTGGTTTCCTGTTCTATCTGAGTATTCCAATTTAGGCAACCTCCCCCTACTTTAAGGATGAAATGAGAAAGTTGAGTAAAAATGTAGGGGTCTTCGATACATTCTTCGCTCCATTTTCAATTTTGGTAGAGTGACCTCTGACCCATGAACCTCTCCTGCCTCTGCTGGAAGTGCCATACTGTACTAAAATGTTATCCATATGTGGACTTTCCACCTAAATGGGGTATGATTTTATGATTTTCATAGCTGGGGCATAATTATCTCAGAATCAACTTGCACTGACGTTCTGTAGGATTGGAAAGGGGAATCCTGGTGGTCGTGGTAGCATCATCCTGTCAAATTAACCTTTGCTTGTGCGGGTAAATGGTTACATTATTTTTCACAGGTGGGACAATATCTCTCTAATTTACCATAAATATGGGGCTGGACTTTAATGCAGAGATACGTTGTGAATGACATGCACACCTTGCTTCTAAATGTAATTTTTTTGTTTAAATAGGTATTTAGGATTTGAGCAAACAACATCAATTGGATTTGTGATTGATACTACTGGCAGCATGGGACCCTTCATAGATAATGTTCGCACCGAAGTCTTAAGGATCATTGATGAGCGTGCCAAAAACGGCGAGCTGCCTGCGATGTTTATGCTCGTGCCTTTTAATGACCCAGGTGAGAATATTTTTTTCTCGATTATTATTAATACTGTTATATTCTTAGGTTTTTTCGGTTAAGTCACGTAAGTAAAACATCAAAATAAAAATAAAATAAAATATTTTATTTTATTTTTATTTTGATGTTTTACATACGTGACTTAACCGAAAAAACCTAAGAATATGAATCTTTGCAGTCACGAAAGCTTCAAATCTAGAAATACTGTTATAAGCAACCAAAATACTCATGACAGCACAATAATCATGACAGCCATGCATGGTGCTGATTATAATGTATGACTTTCTTGTAGCTCCATCGAACTCTCTTAAGTACTAAGAACAGTTGGTGAGTCATGTGTTTGTGTATTTGTTTCAAAATTGATATATAGTGTTTCACGGATATACTGTTTTTCTTTTAGGTTATGGTCCAGTTCTTGTCTCCAAAAACGTAACTGAATTCCGAAAATGGATTTCAGCACTCTCCCCCGATGATGGCGGTGATGAACCAGAATTGTTTTTTTCTGGATTGATGGTAACTATTGTTCATATATTTTTTAAATAGTGCTGTATTCTGGGTTCACGTAATAATCAACCCAAAAACGAATTGGTGCCAATTTATTACATTATCAAAGCAACATTTCCACGATACTGTGGTAGTTTATATTTTCTGTTGGAAGTGGTGACACCACTCCACAATTGGGGGAATGGAGTCTGACTGATGCAATAGGGGTGGAAGAAGAGGGATGAAGTTTGCGAGGAGCTGTGTAAAGGAAACACTGAAAAAGAGCTGCATAGCTCATCGGATTTCTCCAGTCTAAATACAGTTTCTGATCTGACTAGGCATGGACATGTGAAGGATGCTGGTTCAATTCACAACTCAAATTTCTTTAAAGGTTTAACACGTATATTTTGCAACCACTTGTATTATGAATGTTGTTTTCTGGGTTGGACTGCATGGTTAGCATTTCTTCTATCAAGCGTTTGCAACACACTATTGTGGAATTTTTATTTGCTTTGCCATATGTTGACTTAGTGGAACAATTTGCAGCAATTCAGTGCCTGCAGATAATGATTGGTGGATTATAATTCTTCCATTTAAACAGGCACAGAGCAATACGTGTTTCGAGGGTAGTGACCACATTCCGCAGGCAAGAATGCTTTATGTGTCCAACTTATTCAGCAGACTGCAAGGTGTAGCCAGTTTGCCCTGTCCCACTCCTCCTGTCGTGAGTCCCAACGAGGGGGACAGGTAGGCTAAATAGACAACAGCAACAAGAATACAAAGAATACAGTTCGGAGACAATGAGCAGGTAAATCTTGACTTAAAGCTTTCGTGACTGCAGGAAATCATATTCTTTGGGTCTTTCGGTAAAGCCACGTAGATAGAAAAAATAATGAAAATATCACGACGTTTCGATTGCAACACAGCAATCGTCATCAGGTGAAATAAATCGCTATTTTGATGACGATTGCTTGTGTTGCGATCAAAACGTCGTGATATTTTTCATATTTTTAAATCCTTTATATTAAGTTCGCTTGCTTGCTTGCTTGCGTGCGTGCGTGCTTGCTTGCTTGCTTGCGTGCTTGCTTGCTTACGACCGTGCAAATCTTTCGGTCGTTTTTTAACCCACTTCCCGTGATCCAATCGAGCTGACATTTTCCACACAGACTCGTTGTGCCAGACAATTAATGTTCGTGAAAAAATATTCCCAAAATTTTACACTTTTTAGGCAAAAAAAATGTATTTTACATATATTCAAATATAACTCATTCATGGCTTTGGCTGAAAGTCACAGTGTAAGAGCCCAGAGCGTAACCCCTCTACAGGCCGTGGCGGAGTAGCGCAGTTGGTAGCGCCCTCGCTTCCCATGCCAAAGGTCGCGGGATCGATCCCCGCGTCCTCCACAGGCGAATATATTTTTAAATCCTTTATGTTAAGTTCGCTTGCTTGCTTAGGACAGTGCAAATCTTTCGCTCGTTTTTTAACCCACTTCCCGTGATCCAATCGAGCTGACATTTTCCACACAGACTCGTTGTGTGTGACAATTAATTTTCGTGAAAAAAAAAATTCAAAAATTTTACACTGTTTAGGGAAAACAAATTAAATATTTAATTACCAATTGCTTAATGGTGGCAGACAATCATCTGACCCATACGTGGCAGCCATCTCAAGCCAGAGGACGAGAGGACTCTAGCCGCCACGCATATAAAGGATTTATAGTGAAAAACTTTGTTTTTACGGGTTTACTTTTTTTCTATCTATGTGGCTTTACCGAAAGACCCAAAGAAAATGAGGAGGTACTCGGCTTTGTGGTCTGTCCTCCGGAAAAATATGCGACTCCACAACAGATGAGCACCAGAAGTTTGTGGAACGGCTAAACTTTATTTTAAAGTGTTCTTTTGAAGGACAATTGCGTATCTGCAATGGCGACCAGGTACTCCCTCCATGTCACAACATAGCAGCTCAATCCCCCAGCACGAAGTCCGCCCAAATCTAAATTGGGGGTGTGCCTGTACTCTACAGAGTACATGGGCCTCGGGGTCCAATCCCTGGCCACCACTGCATGCATTTAAAATAAAATGAAACGCACCTGGCTACCCAAAGCTATGAGCAGAGTGGGCACTTATACATGTGATTAATCATGGGTGAGCTCACACCGGCAATAAACGCAAACAATATTTAAGTGCGAACACTAGGTAAGATTACCCAATTAAACTCCTACAGATTCCAGCGGTAATACATGGAGAAATGTCGATAGAATAAATGCAAAACAAGCAACCAAATCTGGAAATCCTGATGGCAATGCAAACAAGGTGGTAAAAGCAACAGATTTAGCATTTATTACAAAATTAAGTTGATTAAATTTGTAGTGAGTTCAACTGAGTCGCAGACGTACTCTTTGGAGGCAACACATGTATTAACACCAACACACGGGGTAACTGCCCCTTAACAGAATAACAACCTATGGTGGTGACCACCAGGTTAACTAAACTAATTACACCATAACTATCTACAATGGACCGGACCACAGCTCGGGTCCCAGTCCACGTGTTGGAGACTCTGTAGGACGTAGAACGTAGACGAAAAATTATTCAGGATGAACAACAGCGCTGGTCCCTCAGGAGGACCCGGCTTATATCCTCTGTGGCGTGGCTGGCTCCGCCCTTGGCCACGACCACTTTCCAGAATCCTCGAGCAGGATTTCAACCCTGACACGTGACCACCTCTAGCCCCCACTTGGGCCCCTGTATAGACTTAACCGGTCACGTGTCCTCTGGGGTCAACCAGAGTGCCACGGCCGAAAGTAACCCCATTCCCATGGTCGGCACTCCCACACCCTATCCTGTAGGGGCCAGCACTGCACGCCAAGCATGGTGCCATCCAAGGCTATTGATCAGTACTCACAGAGCCCCTCTAGGGCCGGTACTGCACCCAAATCCTAGAGGTGTCCGCGGTGTCAATACACCGCACGCCGTGCCTCTCTCGGGCCTGCATTACCCAGTGACATCCCGCGATGTCACTACAAATTGATAATGTTACTTAACCATTTACCAAAGTCATATCTTTTGCATGCCATGCATCATGTGTATCTGTCAACTACAGCATCTGTTCATTAAATGGCGCTGTTTTATTTACGTACCTTTACGTTTACAAAATATCCATATATAGGTTTTTTAATGAAAATGTATGTTACAGTATTATATCAATGAATTCATTTTAGCCCATATTCTGAGCCACGACTCGACCTTGGCTTGGCTCCAGTATTGCTCATCCCTGGCTTAACAATGATAATAATTTCAATTTGTAACATGCACAGTATTGTAACGTGCACAGAAAATTACTCAGAAGTGTGAGCAACCACAGACAAGCAGGACATACAGCCATGGGTGAACCATCACGAAATCTCCCCCCATTCCCCCCAAGTTGATGAGTATTGATAGGTGTGAGAGAAAATCCCATACAGATAGAACAGATGGAATTTAGCCCACTTGCTCTACTGCAATCTCTTGACAATCTTGGGTATTGCAATCTCGATGCCCACAGGTAGTTTCAGGACATGTTGTGATCCACCAAGCCTCACATCCACAGTCCTGCATTACAGGCGTGTTCCACCACCGACCAAAAACTCAATGTCGTGAGCCACTTCGGCTCAGCTCAAGGAATTCTGAGCTGGGATTTGGACCATGTTCAGAACTGGTTCAAGCCAAAACAAGCGTAGTGGTTGTGCTTCTTATGAAGATGGCCATGTTTATATCAGAACTAATGATTATGATAACGATGGAACTAATTATTTTGGGGAAAATAACGATGACAATAATAATCATGATTATGGAACTAATGAAGAAGATGGGATGGGTAATGATATGGTTGTAATATGTTGACTTTCATAACAATAATGAACTAATAATGATAACAGGGCTGATTAATAATGATGGGACTAATTAAAATGTGGATAGTGATTCTAATTTTGTTGTGCGTTTTTTTTTTAATGCTAATTATTGGGCAAATAAAGATGCTATTGCGAGACTATAGATGACTATTGGTCTAATGACAACGGCACCAGCGATAATAACAATTATGGTTGAACTCGTAACAATGATACTATTCATGTACATAGCAAGAGCAAATATAAGTTATACAGATGTAGTGGGTTCAATTCAGGCGCACACTGGAACTTTGGGAGGCAACACTATTTATTATTAACACAACTCTTAACATAGGGTGGTGACCACCGACATATCCTCGCTAACACACACCATCACTCGCTAACACTGACGCTCTCATACGACTCGCGTGGCCAAGCCAGGGGGGCTACTGGTTGGCCACGCTGACTTGAGGCTTGACTCTTCTTCACGAGGCATCTTCACGAGGCATCTTCATCCCGGACCCGAGCCGCCCCGCACCAGGTGCGGAGCCCGCTTATATCTGCCTCGACATACCCGGGCCACGCCCAGGCCACGCCCACCTTCTCGAATCCTCGAGAAGGCTCAGCCCCTGGCCACGCGACCCCCAAGGTCCCTCTAGGGTCCCCGGCCCCCACCTTATCTGGTCACGTGTCCGGCCGGGTTCATACAGAGTGCCATGGCCTGACACAACCCCCGTGGCATTGACGACAGCCTCCGGGCTCCCCGACCCGGCCGTGACGTCATTCCAATATACCCGATGTAGTGACGTCATGTGTGTACAAGCTCACACAGTAGTGACGCTACAAGTCACTACAAATATAATAAGGCACAGTGAGGCCCTTAACAAAACTTCAACCTCGCCTAGTCAAAGCAGGGTCACACCACAGTGCCAATAACTTCACGATACATAGAACATGATCATCAATCTTGGTCGATATATTGCTGGATGAAGGCCTCCCTAGGTCACTACCTCTCACAATCTTGCAATTCTGTAACAAGGCGCCTAGTTTGATCAAAGGCACAATCATAATTGCACATAAGTTGTGCACACCATCGTCAAACTGCTCTTTTTTTTCCTTTGCTTTTGCCAGATAATACTCTGTATCTCATTAAGCATGGTGGATGGAATACTTGTTATAACTTCATATTGTGATGAACATATTTTTACATCTATGTAAATTGGATTGTACTATATCACCAAACGATTGGACGGGGTGTCACTTTTATGGATAATGAGCATAGCACTGATATTCGCATTGTTATCTTTCATTAAGCTGTGCCTGAATGCCATTGAGCCACACTCGGAGATATTCATCTTTACGGATGCATCTGCAAAAGATGCGTATCTGATGCCACAAGCGGTTGCCATTGGAGAGAGAAAGAAATGCAAAGTAAGACCTTTTACTACACCCGACTCGTATACTCTTTATATCAAAACCGAACAGGGGCGGTTTCATCATTAGGGTGATTGGGCGACGCACCACCAATGTCATTGAACCACAGAGTCATGCTAGCCGTCACTGCAGCCTCTGGATATAGTCCAATCAGCGTCATGTCACGTTCTGTGGAGTACCGCCTCTTTTTGGGCGATTTCACTCCGGCTGAGAATCGCCCCGAGTGGCCCCATAGACTTACATTCAAAGATGTTTTTTTTCGAACGGGGGCGCTGCAATGCATTCTCTATGGCTTCCGGGAGGGCTCGCCCTAACGTGCTTACGTCATCATACGTGCTTACGTCATCATACGTAAGCACGTTTCATCCAACAATATAATTTGTGGCCACCTAGTGGAATCTTTAATAAAATAAACTTGAGTGGTTTGTTTTAATAGTGAGTATAGAAACAAACAAGATGTATTGTAAGAGTCACTTTATTTTTCATTAATATTAAAGAAGTGAAGTTGCCTTTACATGCTTAAGCTGTTAATTTATCCATTGCATGGGTGGACCTTATCCTTATCAATCATCCAGACATTTGCCCCCCCTGAGAGATTTTGCAGGAGCCGCCACTGAAACCGAATGTTACAATTGCACGTGTGATTGACAGATTAAACACGTAAACAAACCTGTACTACATTATTGTACACCTGCAGGAAATTAAGTAATTTTATACACTTGTGGTAATCAGTGTGAGCTTTAATGGTCGCATACTGCAAAACCACATTTGATGAATGAGAGTATGTGGGAGGTGAGCGTTTAAATATAGATACAGCAAAACTTTCTATTTTTCATTATAAAATATATATGCAACAACATAATTATAAATGCAACAACAAAATATTACTCTAAAGTATAACGAATCAACAATATGCATATGCATATACATAATTTTAACAAGCTTTAGATATTGTACTATTTATCATTTCAATATTGAACAACATATGCTTGATGTTTCCTGGTATTAGCTCGATGTATGTCTGTAAACTATTTGAAGTATGATTGCAGATAACATTATTTTATGTTGTATATACATATATTTCCAGGTGAATGTTGTGCACGTGAGATGGTCAGGATATATGCGCTCTTTGGACAATCAGGGAAACTTCCAGCGAACACGCGCACTTACATACCCTGAATATGACGAAATTGCTTTTAGTACTGGGGGTTTGATGTTGAATCCAACAAGTACGGAATTTCAAGGACTAATGGTAGTCATCGGAGACCTCACAAAGACGCAGCAGGTGAGTTACGATATTTCTACACGTACAATGTTCTATCACATACATATGGAACAGATGGAGCACACATTTACTCGACCGCGTTATCCTGGAAAGCCATGGCATGGCACTTCAACGCCCACAGGAAGGGAGATTCACCAACTCTTCCCCCCACAGTGCTGGATTACAGGCGTGCACAATTATCAATCCACTGCTGGATTATGGCCTGTCCAAGCTGCTGCCATCTCTCTTGGTTTTGCAATATAGTAACAATAACAGCCACGGAACTTGTACCAGGCTAGGTACAATTTAAGGCGAAATGAAGTGCAGAAGACTCGCAATCAGGTCACAGGACAAACCTAGATGTTATAAAGTAACTGACAGCGATGACTGGCAGATGCACCATCTGTGCTCCCCACTGCATTTTAGCCACACGGTTGCTCTGCTTGTTGACGTGAGCATCACTCGTCTATCATTCATTTTTGTTAGAGGGTGGCTGCCTTAAACTACCAAGTTGGATCCTTCACGAGCATTTTCCACAAATGCCAATATTGGAACGTATGATACCAGTCATTGGCAATTCCAATTAGTTCCACATCCTCCTATACTACATCAGTCCATCACCTTTTCAACTGTTCCATGTCAATTTCACTCACTCTATCTGGCCAATCAGAAACTGTTTGGGCATACAGTCGCTGGGCATATGCGCTATATAACCCAGCCAACACAGCCTCGCCAAATGGAGGAGCTCAGATATGCGACTATTGTCCAGATCTTTCAAGGATCAATGAGTTTATTTGACAATTCAGTCAAGTTAAACCCAGGACGGATTACAGGCAGGCCAGCCTAAATGTTTCAAATCGGTGCACATATTTAATTACCGGATTCCATGTTTTGCAAGCACAGATAAGGGATGGCATAACTGTAGCAAATAATAATCAGAAGCTTCATATGGAGTGATTAACCAGGTAGCTTCCACACAGCAATACACAGTTGATGACAATGTAATGACACTTGACTGATTCAGAGTGAGACCTCCAATGCTGATTCTAGATTTGAACCTTGATGCAGTAATTTTAGCTGTGACGGTCCCACCTGATGACGGAGACTTGTGTTGCCTCCGAAACGTCGTGATTTATTATTTTATTTTATTTCCATTATTAACTTTAAATTTTAATTTTTACCTCCAATGCTGAACCAGTGGTGGTCACAAGCACACTGCCCAGGTATTGAATATTCTCCACAACTGCCCCATCACTCAAGGGTAGTTGATGTGGTAGAGGATTTGATAATATAAAATACCCAGGCAAATGCTTTGTCTCGGCAGGACTGATGAAAAGGCCGCATCAATCAGCCTCCCATTGTGTGTGCACCAGATGAAAATCCCCCAGTACAGCTATGGAAAGCGTCTCGAACTACATGGTCAAAATATGTGTTAAATAGTGTAGGACCAGTGGACATTCCTGTCACACCCTAAGGTGACCCAGAAGTGCCTCTGATTCCTGGTAACGCAGCTTTACCCTGGCCTGTCCACCACCATGAAGGTCCTTAATGATTGTCAGAATAGGGCCAGGGACCGCAAAAGCACGCGGAATAATCCAAAGCCCAGGCCTATTAATGGAAGAATATGCCTTGGCCAGGTCTATAAAGGAGACATATAGATCCTGTATAAAGTCCCTACATCTCTGCTGCAGTAGACAGATAGGGAACATCGATTATATATCTGAAAACTAAATTGGGGAACCACAAAATTATTCTCAGAGTGCCTGGCAAGGCAATGTGGAACAATCATTGCCAAGACCTTTCCCAGCACAATGAGGAGGGAGATGCCCAAGTAGTTATTGAAATCCACATGGCCCCCTTCTTAAAAAGGTGGACAACCAGGGCATCCTTCCATGTAATACTCTACCTACTACATGAAGACGAGAAGAATCTATCTATTCATCGTCGCAGTGGATATGTTCTTGTCTGTGTTCCAATCCTTTGCTACAAATCGGTAATTATTCACCATTGGCCATCGCCCCTTATAGTAATGAATTATATCCATGCCGAATCTTCTCAACAACTTGAATGATGTCAATGAACCTGCATGTGTCCGCTAAATATAGGTGTTCCTCTTTCTGTCTCTCAGTATAAGTTCCAGCATACATGTTGACATATTTATTTTCGCACTTTTAAGCTTTTGTTCAATTTTATTCTATAAAGACTATGTTTTTGATTCTCATGTCATATCAGATAAACATGCAATTATATATATAAAAAATATTTTAGCACATTGATATATAATTTTAAATGATCAAGTTCAGCCTTCCAAAAACACTACTTTCGTGCACATCTTTATTTTATCGTTTTATCATTTTAATTGCAGTTTCCTCACAATTCACCCAGGCAGCTAATTGTATACAAAATGGGACCTTTTTGCCAATATCAAAGTATGAAATTTTTTAGACAAAAAACATGTTTGTTTGCATGTACGTGTGGTTAATACAGGTTTGATTCCTTACTAAAGGTTTGTATTTGGTGTTTGAACATCTCAACATCTGTTTTATTGCCAAAAAGCATAACATTTATTCTGTTTTTTTCATATCTAATTGTCTGGTGGCAGGATTGCCGTCCATCATTCACATGAATTAAGCTCCATTATTCAACAAAGTGTGATGCAATAATTTCCATGCGTACATTTTGTTTCATGACGACTCCATGAGTACCATAATGGCGGGATAAAGTAACGACGTCAAAATGTTAAGGCATTTGTGATTGTGTATTAAAACTGTGACGCATTGATGCTTGCATTTATTTGTGCCAAATTCATTTTAACTAGTATGTATTTCACCTTTTCAGGTGAACCTTTTAAATGTCCGTCATGTTGATACAACGACCAGCAAAGTCCTTACATTTCCAGTTGACAATTCTGTGAGCGACATTGTCATTTTTTATACGGGGACAGTCTCTGCATCACCTAACATTACGATTTCTGATCCATCAGGTATGTAAATTATGTCTTACTTTTTTGTTGTAATGGGTTCTAGACGTTTGGTTGCAATCATATGCATATGGGTGGGGACATTTTATTCAAACCTACACTCTGTATTTAGAAACTATGTTGTAGAAGTAAATTGATGTTTCCAGATTTAACCATTCACCACGCAGTCAATTTTCATCTCACATTGCCCTAAACAATGAAAACTACATTGCATGAGAGTGCAGTGAGAGGTGAACATTGCAGCTATCAAACAATAAACAATCTCGAATTAAAAGCACAGTATTAGATTTAAAATACCCCATGAAGCAGTGGTTAACTTAAAATCTTTGCAGGTTTAAATTGAAAACAATAACACTTTCAGGATATACACATTCACCATTCACGATTGCATTGTACACACGATGTTTTCAATCTACCACATTTTAAAAGAGCAAACGCTTCTTAAAAGCTGTCTTCATTCACATTAATCATCACATTTTTTAGATTTTATTGAGTTTAAGTTGATGCTCTTTGTTCCATAGATGATCCCATTTAGACAGTTGGCCAGCTATTTTACAAGGGCTTCCCATGGTGCATGAGCAGAGCAAAGCAAAACAAAGGCAAAAACATGAATATTGTAGAGAACGAGTACAGGGTCTAGTGATAGGTTTTTACCCTTTCAACTGGTACAAAAACTGACACCTTTATACAATGCATCATGTTTGCAATAACCACAACACAAGCAGTCAAAATGCAAACAAAAAGAAACAACTCTGATAATGATATGCACTGTCCTTGAAGTTGATTGGTCCACACCCGAGACAGCTTTTCTTAGAGCCTAGTACGCCTTTTGGCGTCATCTGGTCCAACACCAATGGAGACTAGGCTTTAAGAAAAGCTGTCTCGGGTGTGGCGCAATCAACTTCAAGGACAGTGCATATCATTATCAGAGTTGTTTCTTTTTGTTTGCATTTTGACTGCTTGTGTTGTGGTTATTGCAAACATGATGCCTTGTATAAAGGTGTCAGTTTTTCTACCAGTTGAAAGGGTAAAAACCTATCACTATATTTTGCCACTGGTAAAGGAGGTCTCATTGAGTACAGGGTCCTTAAGCAATATTGTCCAATTAACAAATTAGGTATTTAATTTTTGTAAACAAAACACACGGGAATAAAAAAACGGTACAATATAAGCGACCAAGAGGTTCCAGAAAAAGTTAGGTACATGTGCAAGTATGCTCCGTGTTTTGGTTTAATAGAGAAATAAAGAGGGAGAATGAATAGAGGAAACCAAGCTGCAGATGAGTGGTAAGGGTATTCCAGAAACATGGAGAAGCAAGGCAGAAAGAAAACTCTTTAGCAAACAAAGTTTAAGAAATGTAATTGTTTGCAGGAATCAGGAAGCACTTCTGAGGCTTTGAGAGGGAGTTATATGAACTAAGTGTTGCACACTGGAAATGAAGGACGTGGGCAGTTGCTCCAAATTGAGGGCAAACACATTTATTGTGATAATCTGTAAAATGCAACAGCACGTGTGTTACACACATGTACAGTATGTCATTGTCCATGTTTCTGGTCTATGCGTCATAGACAGAATGCAACTATTGATTCTCTGACTGGAGATGGGAGAATGCAATTTGGTTTCTATGCAACAGTTCAAATCTATTGAGAAACTAAATGATGAACAAAATAGTACCTGTCTAAACAATGAAAAAACGATCAGTGCTATAAATAATACACTAAACATTCGGAGCAAAGTAAAACAACCTATCTTAAACGACAATAACATGATGAAGTCTGCCTGGGACACACAAATGCACACATTTACACACAACAATGATATATTACAGACAGCTTGTGATAAGTATACCTCTGCAAGATAATAAATATTAGATTTTTCGTTTTATCATCTTATCACTCACCCCAATACTCTTAACCAATCTCCGTGGTGTGTATGTGTGTGAATGTGTGCATTTTTTTACTCCACAGGTACAATGGATAGTGCAGTTGCAGGAAATACAACACTTTTATCGACCCAAATATCTGGAAGCACTTTTATCATTCGCTTAAAGGAGCCAAAAATGTGTGGAGTTTGGAAAATTCAGATCACATCACCGGGAACTTCAAGTTTACGTATCATCGGTAATGAAAGTCCTCGAACACCTCAATCTTCTGTCCTACCAGGAATTTTGATCCTACCAACATAGGAGCATAGACACTGTGTAACATCTAAGTTCGGATACTTTGAACTTCAATTGCAGACAATGTACTTACTGTATACTTACAGAGATTTTGCGATAGTTGGGCAAGTGTAAAGGATGAAGGAGGGTGGGTTATTGACATAGGCACTGGGGTGGCACCCAGAGGTTGCCAGACAAAAGACCACATTGTAGTTGTGATTCGATGAGTTTTGTGTCAACTGCAATAGCCGTAATGTCGCACCTCCGACTAGGACGATTGGCTACCTATGGTGCGAAAGAAGTTCAACATACATACATGTCACTGGGACCTTTACAATAACTGTGATGTGAACAACTTAATACTTATGTTGTTATTTCAGATTAGAACGCCATATTTAAATTCAGTGGACCTAATGCAATCGTGCACGAACAAAGGCAATGCTGAAATGTATTACATAGACAGCATTGACATTAAACCCATGATAGCAGTTGGAGGTAATGACCACAATGGAAAGGACATTGCAGGTGGTGGTCACAACAAAGATGGAGCAACTTCCTATTGTTATAAATGCGATGGCATATGTAATATGCAGTAAATAAACATGTATGGAAATGGATTGCTTCAGTTATTTCATTTGATGCATTATCGTTGTATTGTATATATTGGGGTGGCGAGGTGGTACAGTGGTTAGATCACTGCACTATGAACCCAGAGACCTAGGTTCGATTCTTGGCCATGGCTAATGTATGATCAAAACCAGATGACTGGCCTGGTATTGGAGTTTGTTTGACAAAGGGGTAATTTTGCCCATTATCCCCCAGGTACATCAACATGTGCTGCTTGTTGTGACTTGTTGAGGATGGTGCTGTGTTATAATCCTGGCGATCTGAGCTTCATTGCCCTAAAGAGTTAACATTGGCTGTGAGTGATATCTCAACCCAGCCTTTAATGTGTACCTGTTTCGATCTAAGAACATCAACTCTGGGAAGAAAAATGTGACCAAGTTTGGTTAATAATTCCGTACATTTCCATGTCTCGCCTTAATCAGGACTTGGTAACAATACTTCCCACAAATATTCCATGGTGCAAAATGTACGTGTTATATGTCATTACGCCTATAATGGTTCATGTTATATTTGTACACTTTAAGGAGAAAGCTCTTTGAATTTCATCTACAAGTTTGGAGTTGAAGATGATGTCGGGCCGCACCCTGGTATAAGGGCTATCACGAATAAACCATCAACAGGTTAGAGCATAAAGTCTCATATATATGCCTACATAAACACGGTGAGGCCTCTACCCACAAATATTACAAGTTTGGATGCAAACTAAATGCATATCTTGTCACCCAACACGGATTTTATTGGAGGCTAAAGTCTATTGTGCCCCCCCAGTCTACCAAGTGCGGAAGTGGAAGGCGGCCTTACCAGTATCTACCTACCCACTCCCTCATGCTTGCCTGTGTGACAATCACTTTGAATATTGAGACAGAATGCAAGACTCTTTAATATATGTAGTGGTAACAAAATACTTTAAATTACAATAAATTATTTTCTTACCAAATTTGCTTTTGGTTAGTGTTGGTGTGATAGTTTTGGTGTTGGTATGATTTCTACCTCCACTAGTCCCAGTTACAGTCTGTCTGGATGTTATAGTGAGTAGTTGAATCCAAAGACCAGAGACATCATTTATATTCCAATGTCAGACCACATCTCCAGAACACAGAAGGGTCAGTTTTAGTTACAACAATATAAATAACATAACATACTTCATACTAAGTCTGATTACACACAAGCGTTGCAGAATTACTTAATTACATATTCACAACATGTTAAATTATCCTCTCATGTTACATACATGCAGCTGCACCCTAACCAATATTTATTATTTGAGCGACACACACTTGGTCGTTTACGATGTCTTAGCTCCCTTAGTAGGCATATCTCCTCAGCTAAATCGACACACATCTACACCTAGCAGGTACCTCTCTTCTGCTACACTATGAACATCTACTCTCAGCAAATACAACTCCTCTGCTACTCTTTTATTGGTTGACAGACACTCTTTACACTGCACAACCAGGGTTAACATCGTCATGGCTGTCTTAAACAATATGACCCAGACGATTGCCCAAATATATATTTTTATTGACACTGCCTTACTTCCAGAACCTTCCATGTCCTTCCTCCACCTCATGGTAACTCCTGCCAATCTTTTAACTCTGTCCTCCCTCATTTATGAGGGTCGGTTTGGGCTTGGGGGAAAAATAAAATTTTAGAAACTCTGAAAAGCCCAAACCCAAACTTCCTCAAACAGGAGCCAATGAGCAAAGACAAACCAAACAGGTACCGATGAGCATGAGACAGACTCCAGTCAGAGCTTTGTTTCGTGAAGATTTTTCTCAACCTCACCTTCTGAATTATCACCATCCAAAACTAAATAAATCACAGGAAACGTTTTACAAAGAAAGTTGCAGTTGCGTTTTTTTCATGAACCGTGAACCTGCCAAATTAGAAAAAATGGGATATGAAATTGATTTTGGGGGTTACAGGACAATAGACAAAGTCAACGTGAATGGCAATTCAATAGTACTTGGTTAGGTTTAACAAGATTAACACAGTCTGAATAGCTAATCATGAAAGTTGACTCCATTGTACAGCCATGGAAGTCGGCGTGTGATCCTTAGCTTGGAGCCACCAAAATTGCAAAATTGCTTATTCGCAGGTAATGTACAGAGGTCGAGCAGGACTGCACGGGTCGTAGACTAGCAGGCTTTGGCACAAGCCAAACATGGTGAACCTACTGGAATCTTCCCTTCTCCATTATACCGCGTGATTCCCTTGTTCTCTTGTCTACCATCTTCTCTAACTCTGCATACACTGCACTCAACCTGTCCTCTCTCTCTTCGTATGCTGCCTTGCTACAACTTTTCCTAGCCACTACCCACTTAATACTTACCCTCAAAACCATAACAGGGCACATCCTTCTCACCACAACTCTCAACCTTCACCTTTCTCCATTAATTATGACATTTACGTGGTTATAACACTGGTGTTGGTGTCAATTGAGTAGATTGTGGTGGTGGTTGTATCCGTTTCAAAGTTGAGGTCGCATGAGGTGACTTTGGCCAATAGTACCGAGGTCTAGTATGTGCTACATATGATTATGACGGTGATGGTTGGTGATTGATGGGCAAAAGGTGAATAATGGTGAGTCATGATGAGTTTTGGTTTGTCAGTTATGGGTAATGGGTGATAGTGAATAAAGGTGATTGTGTTAATGAGTGATGGTGGCGTTGCAGGCGTGCCGCTATTGGTGGAAGTCACCATTACAGGCGAAGACACCAGCAGTGTTGTTGCTGAGATGCTGACGCTGCTATCACCTGATGGTCGACCTCTTCAAATTATTTTGTTGAACGACACCAGCCCAGGAGACTATATTGGAAGGATTGACTCCCTCCCAGAGGAGCAGTTCTCTGTGTACGTCAGCGGGAAGGACTCGAGAAATGACACCTTTGGCCGAGTATTTCCAACAATTTCTGAAGTCACCACAATAACACTAGAGGTAATTTCCCATCAATGGCTTCCCTACTCTCTGGATTTCTCCACAGTGAAACAAACAATTATTGTTTTAACCCATGATTTATCATACCTGAGAAAATACGAATGAAATCAGAGAATACAATGCAAATAACACAAAGATGATTGCAGATGACATAGTCAACAGTGAGTACACCGGATTATCACGGGTTTCTACGTACGGCGTGAAAGAAGTTCAACATATATACATACAAAATAAAGGAGGTTATGATTGTTAATTGACGAATGGTTGGCTTAAATAAAAAAGATGGAAGCATTATACTCGATAGGGATAACATCTAAATTAGGAATGGGATTCTAGGCAGATCACTGGCAAAAAAGATAATATATTTCTTGCCTGATGACGGAGGCTTGTGTTGCGCCCGAAGCGTCGTGATTTAGTTTATATTCTTTCTACCTACGTGACTTTACCGAAAGAACCGAAGAGTATGGATTCATGCAGTCACGAATGCTTCAAATCAAGAGAACATATATCCCTGTGATTTTTTTTCAGAAGGGAGTTCTGAACATCAGAATTGAATACATAAACACCGCACTTCGCAGTATGAAAAATGTTGAGCTCATGGACTATTTTATTTCGCCATCAAATAAATAGGAGTAGTTGTTGCAACAACATTCACAGGTTCTAATCCGTTCACGATTGGAATCCTGGTGTATTAAGAAAAAATACTACGTACCATCTGCTTCACAGTGACAGTGGTTGCGAAAGGTCCCTTGCCATCATTTATAGAGTAGGCGATGTTATGCTGGAATGCAAGCCTTATACCAACTGCGAAAACTGAAAATTGTTATTTAGACTCAGTGAGGCTTCGTGAGTAAACTAGCATAACAATATTGATCAATTAATTATTGCACATGATTTAATTGTTGACTGAGATCAAAGGGAAAATAATTAACAGCACATTTTAAGGTCAACCAACCGCAGGAGCAAGATACGTTGAGGATAGGTTTGCAGTACCACGCCTTTGTGGAGAGTTGCTCGTCCCTTGGAGCAGTGAGGCTGGGTCCACAATCCCTAGAGTCCATCCTGTGCCAGCAGAATGTGCAGTACAACTGGATAGGTAATGCAGCATGAATGACAGCCCAAAATATCCACGCAACTCACAGGGGATTAGCCCAATCCTAGTTTGTGCCACATCCAAACCTCTTCGCAATGTTTATTTTTATTTTATTCCGGCAGCCTAGCTTGTTATCTTGCCACAATTTTACATGCGAGAAAAAGAGGGTGAAATCGGCTGTGATAGAACGCTATCATGTGTTAGACTAATGTGAGCCCACCGCCAAGCCATCTTCAGGAAATCCGAGTAAGGTTATCATTACTATACATCAATCATAATGCAGTACTATACGATGTAAACAAAAAAGAAAATATATAATTGCATAAAATCTTTAACCCATTTCAGCATTATAATGTATACCATATGACCTTATAGAGCCACACACAATGGTCGGATTGTCTCTGAATCTCTCACAGATTGTTTCAACAATGACTTATCCAAAGATCGCCATTGGCATCCCAACCTACCTTAATGTGTCCGTCACTAACTCTGGTGATGCTGACACATTCACAGCTACAGTCAGTGTGGACCCTGGCTTCATTGTCAGTATTCTTCCTTTGGATAGGTAAATATGTTTTACTCACACACCTTTATACATTAAGTGTTTTTTTGTCATTCCACTGCTATATGATGGCCTCTAAGCACCATGCAGGTCATAGAGGTTACGTACCACGCTGGTCAATACTGGTTGGTGAGGGCAGACAGCATAGACGTGGATGAGTAGACAGTACAGTGTAAGAATAGATGTTCTGCATTGTCCACTCAATCACTGTCTACGCTGATGACTGCTTAGCTTCTGAATTTAGGGACATTCTGGTCAATTAGTCATAGGCTATAGCTCTGAACCAACTGTAGATATACAGTAAAACCTTGGATTGCGAGCATAATTCGTTCCGGAAACGTGTTTGTAATCCAAAGCACTCGTATATCAAAGCACTCGTATATCAGTTGTGATCACGTGACGCTTGGCAGACAAAGCGTATACACGTACTACTCGTATTGCAAGACCTCGCTCGTTTATCAAATTAATATTTATTTTAAAAATTTGCTCGTCTTGCAAAACACTCGCAGACCAAGTTACTCGCAATCCAAGGTTTTACTCTATATACCTGAGAACTCCTATAATCTGTTTTAATGTGATGTCCTATTATTCAAACGGTCATCCGTGGTTTACACTAATTTTTTCACGGATGAATCATAAATAATTGCAGATAGGGGAGTAATTTGTCACACGACTCCAATTATACACTAAAATATCGCACAAGCCCACAAGGGTAAAGTGTCTCCATGTTTTTTGTGTGTCTCTCTGTTTGTGGGTGTCTCTGTTTTGTCTGTGTTTATTGATGTCTTTGTGTGGCTCCAATTTTTTGTGGATAACCCACGAGTGATTATAATATTACGGGTAACTGGATGCCATTCCACACTAAATTCGTAGATAATGTCAGATAATAGGAAAACAAGGGGCATGGGTAATTGGGTGTTTTCGCTAATCCTATAGCTCCTTGGGAAAATATGAATTGGAAGATAATAGTGTCGTAGATAAGAGGATTTCTGTAAATTTCGGTTATAAGACAGTATTTACAATGGATAGATGTGCTTTATTGTTATCATGATTATTATTTAAGCTGTATATTCTGGCCTTTCTGACATGCGTTGAAAGCTTAATAAGTTAAGGGGGGGGGGGGGGGGGAAACTGTGAGGTGCACTCCAGCAACATCGTTGTGGCATCATCCCTATAATTTGTAATATATCATCAATACAGTTATGTCACAAAAGTACATGTGAAAGTATTATACAATTATTATTTTTCTCATTAATACATTTTCAAACTCTTGTCAGACAGCCTGGGATAAACAGCCCAGCGGTGTTTTAACAAAGTATAATATATTTCGTTTGTTGTTGCATGATTCATTAAATAATTAAATAATATATTAATTATAAGGCTGACTTCATTAATAAACTTCAGATTGTTAGAGACGTCTCTTTTCTCAACAAATTTAGCACAGGAAGCGATCCCAGGCTGGTGTGATGAAATTTGCACTGGAATATCGGCAAATCCATCTAATTTTAGATTGAAATGCCTGATGGTCAAATTGATTAAATGTATACCACTTCTTGAACTAATTCAGCTAGCATAGCAATTAATATGGGGAAAGGTTAAAAAAGAAACAGTTGATATTCTGAAACCTCAAATGACATTATGAAGAAGAAGAGAAATATAAAAGAAACGTGCAGAACTGAATATTGAATACACAGAACTCTGTAAAATTATGAAGAAAAGAATGAGAATATAAATCAGAGATGACACACATTATTGGATGTGTCAGACCAAGCAACGGGTGCATGAAAACAGCAATACGGAGGTTCATAATCGGCCATTCACAAATGAAACCCCTTTGAAACAAATACGGAACCAAACTCGTGATCGAGATTAAACCCTCAATTTAGTAAATAAATATTATGGAGATTTCTATAGCAACGCAACACAAATATATAGTTTTGGAAGCAGAACTCTCAAAGGAAGAAGAATAAGTTCCAGATTTCACACTTAAGCTCCACCCTTCACGGTCTGCAAAGTGGAAGACGCCTGGATCAGATGACATACCATTGTCAAAAAGTGGGACCAATTCTTGGAAAAATAATAGCAGCTTTCTTCACATTTTATAACACATGTCTAATAATGAAACAAGAGGTTGATGAGAGTTTGGTGCGATCTTTGAACTCAATTAGATCATGAAAATTCAGATACCAATTGGCCAAAATAAGAAAGTGTTTGATGATTGACATTTATGTCTGTGCTCTTAAATGTTTCAATATATTACCTTAGTTTGGTCATCTTTCCTTCATGTTTCCACTGAAATGTAATAAAACCCTAGTATTGAGCTGGCATTCCTGACACTCTGGGTTCGAATCCAGGCAGCTGCCTGTGATTAAACTGGGTGCTCAAGTGTAATGTGTAGGTGTAAAGTAGTGATGCAGTGTTTGGAGTACTGCAATATGATGCAGATGACTTGAGTTCAATTCCTAGCCAAATTTTAACATCAGTGGCGTTACCTGGTCAGCGTGGATAGGTATGGACAAATGGCCCCTGTAACTGAGACATCATGGGGTGGCTATCATCCCACAGTGGATTGACAAAGAACATAAATATGAATATTCATGTCTGTGTAACAAGTTTAAAAATGTGTTAAAAAATATTATTCCTGAGATGAAATCATTGTTTTTTTTGTAATTGTTATTAACTTGGATTGGTTGGTGCTTGTGCAGATTCAACATCAGCAGGAACAGCTCAGTAATTTTAACGCTGAAGCTAGAAACCAATTCTACAGTGGAAATCGGAACGATTGGCACATTTTTACTGGTAGTTCACGGAGCAAACTCTACCTACAATTTCATAGATTTTCAAGCTCAGCTTCTAAAGGTAATGATACATAATATCGAAATGACAAAGCTAATCCCATTGACATATATTTTGAATAAAATGACTCTTGGTGAGGAAATCAAATGCCATCTGGAGTGATTCCTTCTAAAAGTGATTCCTTGTAACGCCAGATACTATCCAAAACTAATATTTATAATGCGTGTGATCCTGATAATAAGCACTGCGCTTAAAGGTGTTCAAGATCTTGCACCATTTCTGTGTAGACTTTTCAAGCTCTTGTATATTACGCACTCCGTATCAACAACTGGGAAATTAGCTCAGATCCATCCAGTCCCAAAAAGGGTGATTCATCTTGCATGTGTAATTATCGTCCTATCGCCTTGACACCATTAATATGAAACGTAGTAATAGTAAATGAGACTATCCTGGTCTCTTGAACGTGAAAGTGAGGAATATATAATCAATGATCATCTTCTCCGTCACTTGGATTCATTATCATTTAGTGATCATCAGTATCGGTTCCATCCAGCATGGTTTCCAGGTAACTATTTAACTTATTTTAACACGTAGGCTTTCGCGATCAATATCATCCTTTTTACAGGTTTTTTTTTGGGGTTAGATCGCGTAAATATAAATATTTCGTTACTGTTGTCCAAGTGCTCTGCACACTTTTTGCTATGTATGAACCAGCACAACAAGTAAACATTCTCTCTACATAAAACTTTGGTAGAAAACAAATGTAGCAATAACACTGAGTATGCAAAGTGCCAATCAAATTTCTGGAACGTAACTATAATCTTTGCGAACATGGGATCAAAAACCAAAGCGGTTGATTCTCGTGCCCTCATGAACGGCACCGTTGGAGTAAACGTGTTGAATTAAACTAACACTTCAAGAGCTATCAACATAAATATATTTTTTTCAACAGTATGCGTCGGTTTATTGTTAGGACAAGGGTAGCAACCGCACATCAATTAATTTATATATCATTACATTGATCCATGGAAGGATCCAGTTTCACTTGCCCAATTATTATTTTTTGGGACTTATGGACTCTTTCCCTGCTCAAAGAGTTAAATTAAATATATAGAACTAATCCGAATATTATTTTGCTCGCAATCATAGTCCAGTAATAGAGCTGGTGCTACATTTTATGAGTGAGCGTTTTATTGTCGCAGATTACTGAGGAACTTATATTTCCTCTGCAACCTAAAAGACATTCATGCAACATTGAATAGTTCCCAAAACCACTGAGCAAAGTTTGAAGTAGTCTTCTCGTATTGGATATGGGATGTTGTAGTCAGTGTAAATGGTCCTGCCACTTTCTGTCAGCTAGTTAACACACCTCCTCTATTATGCATGTTTTATGGGGAGGTCGGCACTCTCTACTTAACAATGTCATAGCAGCTGCATATTCCGCAGTCCCCTCACCATGATTGGGATGAGGGAGAAAATGTCCAACTTCTGCTGCGGCTCACATTGTTCCACCAACTGATGTGTTTGATTTCTCTTCCTCGTTTTCCTTTGCTTGCTCCATGCAGAATCGATGTCATACATTCTCCAGATCATACTATTATGACGTATCCCACATATGCTGTTTAAGTCTCATTCGATTCCAGAGTAACTCATGTATCCAATGTTCCATCTCCATCCGAACTTTTGTACGTTCTAAATTACATTATTGTAAGACTTCCATTGCGTGACTAGTCAAGCTGATTGTCCTGTGAGCTTTACATTCTAGGGTGGTGGGCTTTTGGGGAATTGGAACGAACAGAAACTGCTCAATTTCCTCATGTAGATTTTTTTCTCATATATCTTTTTTTTTAAATACTCACTAGTTCCCCCTTCCATTATCTTATTACTTCCAACATATCACTGACAGTGGCCAATTATGTCTTCAAACTTTAAAAAATGTTCAGATCTATTTTCCTGATCATGATAAAATCTATCTTGTTTTATGTTACAGTATCGTTTTCTCTTGATCTCTTGGAAATATCTTTGTGTACAACCTTCTTTGTGGTTGTTTGAACCAAGTGTTCATCACTGTGAAACTATGTTGATTACAAAACTGAAATTACCGATATCCTATGTTGTTTCCCTCAAGACCAATACTATTGTCCTCCATAATTATTGTTATATATTATGCGTATTAACATAAGCCAATATGGTCAACAAAGCATATCTACTGATGAAGGCAGCATATTAATAATCACGTATATTGGTTCTGCGCCAGCAAGGCAAAACAAAAGCCAACAGGACAAATCTAACTGCGTAAAACCTAATAAGTATGTATATTTAAATTAACGTGTATCTACCACGAATGCCCCCCCCCCCTCCCATTGCGCACAGTATGATGATGATTCATTTCCAACCTGTGAAATTATGGCTGAAAGAAAATGCCCTAAGAAGCTCCAGGACACGAAGTGCAAATCCAGCACGTGGAACGCGACCATCCAGTTCAATGACACTGGGTCGGGAATCAAAATAATAGATGCACCTGGTGGCATGGGCAACATCACTGTCGGGAAGACGTTGACCAAGAGCTATTCCGGAGACTGCTGCAACACGGTGTTGAGCGTTAATGTCACAGATATGGCTGATAACTTACGTGTGTGCTCCTACGACATGAAGGCATCAGCAGGGTTTACGATGTTCCATATTGGCATTTGGCAAATGGTCATATTTGCATTTGGCCTGGCACTAAGTGGAATTGCTAATGTCATGTGATTTCAAATGTTTGACATGTGAAGTACAGGCAATACATCTGTATATTTTGTGGGAGAAAATATTATTGTCCTCTTCATGTGTAGTGCTATTATTTTTTTAACACAAGACCTGGCAATATATTTACACTAATTCGGTCAGGTCTGATGCGAGTAATACATAAAATAAGGATCAGAAAATGTTGTCTCCCCACACTTCAATACTGGTACAGGGATAATTTTACAGGGAACATTTTAAATGTCGATTTTTTTGCATATTTTAAGGTGATCAATATTAAATATTGTGGGTATTGTAACAAATGTGGATAGATGTATTCAAAAATATAGACTACTGATCAAGCAGCTGCATGAAGTAAAGTGCTATTGCCCCATGTCAGAGGTTAATGTGCTTGCATTGTTATCTCAGGAGAAAAATTAACGAAGACCCGTGGGCGTGGCAAATTATGCTGAACTGTCAGAGAATATAAGTGGTCAATCACATATTGCTTTTAGATATGATTATATGGGATTAGTCCGATAAGTGGTTGATTTAATTGCATTGAAAATAAGAAACACTGTGAATGTATCAGTTTTATAAATGGTTCGAATTTATGTTGCAAATAGTGGAAGGGAGTGGCAAAAAACTACGCATTAGTGGCAACAGCATGTGTTGTCTGAGCTGTCAAATCGTTGGGAGAACAGCTGTGTCTATTCCCTCGATCTTCGCACAATCATGTGGTTTGATAACAAGAGCAAATACAATTTACTTTTGATTACGAGTACTTCATGCGGTGTTAAACAACATAGTGTGGCAGGTTCTTTCTTATCCATTCTTATCGTTTACTATGCTTCACGCCATTGCCAAGCAGCACTGACCCGCATGCTGAAGCATGGTCATAAAATTCCCCCAACCCGCATGACATGCATAGAGAGGCCCTCAATCACCATTGTTTTTAAAAGGGCACATATTTGTGGTACTATTAAACAATCAAATACTCTTGAAGGTACAGAATTTCCCACACGTCTTATTCCCCATACAGTTTATTTGGGTAATTTTAAATGTGCCTGTACGGACTATTGCATGTTATTATAATGAGCAAAGTGAGACGATTAATATTACCATCACCATAATCATGTTAAAATAAAGCAACAAAAACGTAGAAATTTGATGCAATAGTATTACACACGAGCCTAAGTATCTGATGTAAAGCACCAAAATCATAGTTTTGCATGAGATTGTTTGGTTTCGGTTTTTTTCTAATACAAAATAATGATTTTAACTTTCGAATGCGTTCACTCATTCTTAAAGAGAGAGACGGCTCAGAGGTGTGAGCAACCATAGACAAGCAGGAAAGGAAGCCTCAGCAAGCCGATAACAAATTATCCCCCTTCAAGCTCTGCAGTCCTCTATATATGAAGGTGTTATCGGCCAAAATATGGGTGGTAATTACATGGAGAAAATCGGAGCACCCAGAGAAAATCTACACATGCGTGGGAGCAACACTCTATCCCATACAGATAGAAAAGGGGGAGTCCACAGTCTTGCCTACCACATTCTCCTGACAATCCAGGGTATGGCACCTCAACGTCTACAAGAAGGGAGTTTCATAGCATGTGTGATTCACCAACCTTCACTGCCTCGCTGACATACGAAGGAACAAGAAGAAGCTGCCTCCACAGTGTTAGAATAGAGGCATGTGCCACCACCATCTGGCAAATTATGAAAGGCACTAATGGCGTCGGTGAAGAAAGGTAAACTTAAAATAAATTCACTAAATAATATAATAACAAAGAAGAACAGCATTCATATGCCTGAATTCGGTAACGCTTTCTAACATATGTTTGTTCTTAGAAGTACTTAATGTTATTCTATCAACTTTGATCAATTTGACTGGTTTTCAATCAGGTCCCAAATAGCAACACAACTATATACTTCGTGTGGTTGATGCATTCCAAAAAAAGGTGCACAAAGCGAAACTCGACCGAAACCGCTACCTGTTGAGTAAAGCATACATTGCTGTACACTGTTGTTTAACAATGTGCAACCACATAGCCACATATGGGTGAATTTGTTGAGGCCGCTGGCCCTCGCGGCCTTTCCCTGCTGGGTGCTGGCCGCAGGGGTTCCGCCGTCTCCCGATCCCTCGCTCGTGGGTGAGCAGCTGCTGCCGCTGCTGGGCTCATCGCTCGCGGGATAAGGGCCGTCGCACCGCCGGCTCTCCTCCTTGGGTCGCACCCCCGCGAGTTCGCGAGAGGGGCATGGTTCGTCGCTGGCTCACGGTCGCCTGTAAACACTTCGTTGCCACTCCGCCAGTCAAACGCGACGCCTCCCCTCACACAGCCCCGTGCAGCAATCACACGCTCTGAACGGGGGGTCAGGGGTCGGAGGGCGAATGACGTTGCTCGCGTCCGCGTTGCCGATTGGGGCTTTTGTTACGGGGGGTTTAAAGGGCTGTGAGACGGACGTTCGCAAGGGGAGTTAGGCCGTACGCAGTGCGGGGGTCCGCAGCGGCAAGATGAGGCGCACACCCGTGGAGCACTGACCACACACGCTGTGAGCGTACATACACACAGCACCACGTGCTTTCACATGCTCCTCGAAACCACACGAGGCTGTGATTAGTTATTAATGATTTATTACCGGCCGACTGTGAACCACTGTCGAGTCAGTAGGAATCGGCAAGGCAGGCCTACACTATTTCCCGAGGGTCTGTACCCGATTTATCTAATTTGATGGGCTCTAAGCTGTTTCGTTTTTTTTTTAGACCAAATCCCAATACTTTCTTTCCTCTTACTCACAGTTCGATGCGTACGGCGCTCCGGCGGGCTCGTCCTCTCTGCACACCTCGACGCGTCACACGGACGTTCGAGTGGCCGAACTGGGGACCGTCCCGAGCGCTTACTTTAGGAGCAAGAGACCTTTTACCTTCCTGTGTCGCCCTTTTATGGGTAACCCACATCAAAGGAAGCCATCGCTGATCCGAGGGCCTTCAGATTGCTAGGCTTGCGCCGCATTACTCGCGCTCTGCACCGCCGTCCATGTCCCGGTTTCCATAACAAAGAGCCCGCTGCTGACTGCTGCGCCGGTGGCCGCCCACAAGCCCATTCGTCATGCTAATCAGCCGCCCACCCTGGTTTCCCCGCTGTTCGTGGCTGCGCCCCCCTACCTGCCTGCCGATCCGTGTGTGGGGGTACGTTTTAACCGTGGTGGCTGGATAGCCCCCGCCGTGACCATGTAATCTCAACCCAAGTCACGGTGCGAGTTAGCATCGGGGGAGATCGCCCAATTCCCTGGCCGCAGGAAACCATAAAGATTATCCCTATGAGAGGGCTTCTGGGTGAAAACCTGCCGGCCAGGTAACCTCCCCTCGGAGCTCTATGGGGGGAAATGTGTGAGGGTGTGTTTATGTGGGGGGCGGTGAGGGGGAAGCAGTGTCGGCCCCGTCGCTTGGTGGTGGCGAGGTCGTATTTGGGGCGCCCGCAGAGCGGCATCGCGGCGGTGGCATCACAAATTCAAACCGCAAATAGCGATTTTTGAGTAGAAATAAGTTAGCCACACATGCGCAAAATTGTAAAAACCGAAACCGCACAGAGAGAGAAAAACCTAAACAAAAGATTCGTTTTCTTGGTTCTTTTGGTAAAGTCACGTAGAAGGGAAATAATAACATAATAAAAATAAAACATAATGAAATAATTCTCACGACGTTTCTGCCACGTGACTTTGCCAAAAGAACCAAGAAGATGAATCCCTGCAGTCACGAAAGCTTTATATTGAAATTTAAAAGATTCGTTCATATTGCATTACCTTTATGAGAGCTATCGTGATATCCGCCAATGCTCCTGAAAGGCAGTGGAAAACAATGTCACCATTTAGTCAAGCTGGATGCCTTGCTGCCGTTCTCTACTGGTCCGTGTGTCTTTTCTAAGCATAGGTTTATCTGAGATAGACATTCTATTCTTTAAATTTCTTCTGCAGAAAGATGAATTTACCGACTGAGCGACCCTGTCTCTCCACCCACAATGGAACCTATCTTTAACTAGTGGCTGGTTCCACAGCCCATACAACAACATGATGCTTCAACCTGCGCAGCTCTGCAAAGTGTAAATTAAATCCGATTCGCCCTTAAAATAAATACATCACGCTAAATGCAGTAATTTACTTTGGGAAAATATTTTCAAGATATCCCCACGCCATGTAGGGGTGCAATTTATTTTTTACCATACTTGACCACGCTGGTCAGTGCGGGTTGAAGCCAATCGCAATGAAAGTGACCACAACAGCTAAGTAACACCAATGCCAAGATCTGTTTATTTTCAGGGAAAGCATTCGGGTAATTGCACATTTAAAAAAAACACACTTTGAAGCCACGGATAATATTCATGGCGAGTTATACCGGCTGCCCTCTTCCTCAACCTGCTTTGATCGGCGTGGTGAAGTATAGTCAAACAACCTCCATGACCGTGTCAGAAGGCCTTCATCCAACAGTGGATTGATGTGCTGTTTCTTTTTTTGTGCTTGCAACCCGCAAATCCATCCATCCCAGCCAGCCACCAACACTTTTTATCTGATATAGAGCCTTTGTCTATCTCCACCTTTCTCTAGCCTTCTCTGTGCTGTATATTAAAATTTATCTCGATTTCTTGCTGTCTCAGTTTCTCCATTGCTGTTCCCTCTTCTATCTCTCACTCTATATCTCTCTATCTGTCCCCCCCCCCCTCCACGGTGGCAACCCTACTTCCCTCTACATATCACTCGCTCCCTGTTTCTCTCTCTCACCTCTCACCCTTGCTCTCTGTAATCCCACTTCTCCCTTTCCTGTCTCAATCTATCTTGCCTCTCTCATAATCCTCCCTCTCAGTGTTTGTAACTTTCCCTTGCTCTTCTGATTTTCTCTCTCCTCTCCATTTTATGAACTTTCACTCTCTCCCTGCTTCGATCCTCTCCGTCTCTTCCTTCCTCTATATTCCTTCCTCACCTTCCTCTATCTCTCTCCTCTAGTGCCAGATACACGGTCGAGGTCGTGAGTGGGTGGTTGGGGAGGCGTGATGTCTGCACGCATGAACCGAGCTCATTATCATGGTCCATGGACAGATAACCCGTAGGTGCCTACTGCACATTTCGTAATTTGTTTCAACTTTCCTCTGTCTTGCGCCAATATGCTCAAGTAGTGCCCATCTTTATGTCACCAATCTCTTATGTCGTCAAGCCATTCTCTGTTAGGTTTTAGTCTCTTTCCAGTTCCTTCCATTTTTCCAAATAATGTACTTTTAATATTCCTGTTTTCCATCCTACATGGGTCAAAATAGCGCAAGTTTCCTTCTCTTCATTTCCTGCATTAGGTCTTCTTCTATGTGCAACATTTTTCTTACTTCTACGTTGGATGCTTTTTGGGTCCAGTTTATATGCAATATTCTTCCGTAGCAATACAGTCTTTTTCAATGCACAGGTATACAAAGGTAATGACCAATAAATGACCCCAAGCCAATGTGCAGCCTAACGGCTATTCGAAGATAAACCAAGATCTGCGATTGGCGGAAAGAGGCCTCCACAGGGCTTGGACGGGAGGCAGGCATTTGAAGTGATTGGATAAAAGAGTTTGAAGGTGAATAGGTGGGAAACAAAGTGAAACCTAGAGGCAATGGTTGGGATCCGTTAGAGGGGAAGGAAAGGGATTGGCTAAGAAAAATACAGTGAGGGAACATTCTAGAAAGGGAACTGGAACGATATAAAAGGACAGAGCACAAGGGGAGGGGACGTTCGAGGGAAAGTACAGCTTCAACTTCAAGCACGAAGCCCGGACCTAGATTGTTCTGTGTTAATAAAGTGGCTCCTAGTACTTCGTCGTCTGAGTCATTACACAAGGCTGAACTTAATATGCATGCTCTTAAGATGCTCAGTTTGGTTGCAGTAAAATGCAGGTTTCTTACATAACATATTATGGCATCCGTGAATCTCAGCTTATTTATTCTTTCTCCTTACGCAGTTATTCCTGTGCCGTTGTCCTGAATGGCATCCATCAATCTTTTCAAGTATTGACGAAGTTATTTGCGGATAGTAGATCTCCCAGTCTCATACCTATTGTTGTTGGGAACCATTTTCCTATTTCCTAAGTACGCCATCAGGAGGAGGCTGCAAGGTGGGCCAAGGCAGTCTCTCTTGCCAAACAGGGACAGTGGACTCGATGGGACAGTGTGGAAAAGAGTTAGATCAGCTGGAAGGATCTGTGGGCCATGGAAGCGAGGCGGTTGAGCTTTTCCATCAGAGCAACATATGACGTCCTTCCAACACCAGTTAATCTTCACCAATGGTATGGTGAAGATCCGGACTATGCCCTCTGTTC